ATTACACTCCCGTGCTCCCGCTCTTGTCTGAGACGCCCGATCGTTATCTAACCCATTTCATGTTCTGCTCTGCAGCCACACTCAACGAGGTGTCACTCTGACCACTGAACAGATGGAATTTAGAGCCAGCTCGTGTGAGATTATGCTCTTACATGACAGATATGGCAGTACAGCAAAAATTCAATCTTTAAAGGTGCAATATGTAAAAATTCCACAGTTAAATAATCTCAAAACTGTCTAATGACTCAATCCTGTTGGATGGAAGGTAATGTTGAAACAGATTTTCTCCATAGATGGCTGGGGTGTTGTCAGATTTTCTCCTTTCAAAAAGTCCAAAGCGGGATGTAGTCTTTGTTTACAGTCTGCCCTGCCACCATACTTCCTGTTTCCAGAGCCAATTATATGTGAGCCCGCAGGGTTGCAAAGTCTGCAGTGTTGTGGGAAAAATGTTCGCCCAAAAGTTATTTCTTTTACCCCTTATTCAGATATCGAGTGTAGAAGGCTAGAGGCTAACGTCGAGCTAACAATGCTAACAGTTAATTAGAAAAGTTAGTCTGCTCTAAAAATATCTCAAGCTACTTCAATTACAGACAACTTGATATTACAGTGATATGCATGTGTAAACTGAGTCAGTCATGGTATTTTACAAGCTAACAACCCTACTGCAAACAACCACACTTCCTTTAATGCCTACCGTAATAAGTGTGTTAAGTGCTCCCTACCATAAAACACCCAAGAGTGCGAACACCAGATATGTTTTTATCTACTTATGAACTTACTGTGTATGACTCGTCTTTGCTCATCATCTGCAATCTTCTGTTGCTGATCCATAACTGGCAGCAGCTGCTCAGAGCGGACTTGTCCGTTTTGACACATGGACTGCAGTACCCATATCTGACCACAGGACAGCTTTCTTACTTCATGCAAGGCGTAATCATTTTTTCTTGAGATAAGTCTTTCATATTCCTGCATCCATATTACAGGAAAAAAACAAGAACTTCATCTCTGACAGATTTTTAACCCTCAGTGCTTAAAATAAATAAGTCGTCATCCAGTGTGTCAGCCCACTTTGTGTGAGATTAAAGATTTGAACGAGTGCGCTTATGGTTGTCATCTTCTATTCATTTCACTTGGCTCCTTTTTTCCAACAGCATGTTGTAGATTTGGAGAGAGAGGGGAAAATAAAGGCTGATTCTGGTAAATTTTGAGCCATGTTAGGATCAAATGTCATGCTCAGGAGGACTCCTAGCTTTCTAATTAACATAATCAGCTTTCATAACCCCCCTCACTCCAACTGAAGTGCAAATGATAACAAACATGTCTTTTGAGATGAGAGAAGCAGCAGATGCATGTACAGTGTGGGTTTATACAGTAGAGAAAACCCAACAAGGTCACACTTTTGGCGTGTTGATGAATGTGTGTTCTGCAGAAACGGTTCGAGCGATGACCCATGTGATAAATCAAGGCATGGCCATGTACTGGGGGACATCCCGCTGGAGCCCGATGGAGATAATGGTGAGATGATTTGGTAAAGAGAAGCCCCCGCTTAGCTATAATGATGCACAAGCCTGATTCGGGTTTATCGCTGTTTTCCTTCAGGAAGCGTACTCGGTTGCGCGGCAGTTCAACCAGATTCCTCCCATCTGTGAGCAGGCAGAGTATCACATGTTCCAGAGGGAGAAGGTGGAGGTGCAGCTGCCAGAGCTCTTCCATAAGATCGGTGTGCACTCAAGTATTTATGGCTTTAGACTGGTAAATAGGTCTGCAGGTGTTTACTGTGTTTAGCGGTCCTGATAGTAAACAGGTGTTGTTCCCACTTCATTTGTCATCACACGATCATCGTCCTTACTACATTTGAGGAAATTATTCCAAAGAAGTTTTGAAGCTGTGAAAATGGAGAAAGGAGTCTACTCTTTTTAAAACTAGACAAAGAAATAGGAAATTGACTCTTTTATTCTTGAATATTACAGCTTCACTTTTAAAACTTTTGTAAGTAGACCCATGCTTCCTCCATCATTTCTTCCTGCGTCAAATCACAGAAACGTGAAGGAGAATGGATGGTCATTTGTTGTCATTTTCAGTTGAAAATCAACAGTTTTTTGTAGTTCATTCTTTAATTGGATACAAAAGACAAAAAAGGTCTTGTTCTTCATTTTTTACTTATCGTTTTTGAAAGCCATCGGTCACTCTGAATTTAACGTGCAGGCTGAACATGAAAAGGGTCACCTGCCTATCTCCTGCACTAGCTACTGATAGAAAAAGGACGGTGAAACTCTAGGATTTGAAAATCCTCACCTCTCTACCTCAAGCTGTTGCTTGGACTTGCCCATCTTGGCTCGCAACGGGGAAGGCTGTTGTTGTTTTAGCACCCAGGAGAGAGCAGAGAGAGGGAGGAGGAGAGAGAACATTGTGACTAGTAGAAGTTAACTGTTAGCATTAGCAACTTCACCACACAGCAAAAAATCCTCAAGCCTTGTTTTGTTTTATTTGTGGAGATAAAACATCAATGTTGTAAAGCCTAATCAGCGGTAGTGCCACGTTGCTGTTAGCCAATCAGGAACGAGATGTCTGAATATCAGGAAGTAAGACTCCAAATCCCGCCGTCTGAAGCTACTTTCTCCTCCAGCTGAATTCTCCATTCCATAACTTTGATCCAAGACAAAAATAGACCTTTTCTGTTTTTGTTTCCAATAATAAAAATAAACTTTTAGTCTTTTTTTTATTTTCAGCTCAATATTAAAAAATGAAATGATCAAATTTTGTTTCTTTCCTGAGGTGTGGGGGCCATGACGTGGTCCCCGCTGGCCTGTGGGATCATCTCAGGGAAATACGACGGGAGGGTGCCTCCATACTCTCGAGCATCTCTAAAGGTAGACACCCCCCATCCCCCTCATCCGCCTGCTGTGTACCGCCCGCTTCGGTCGTCTGCCCCCCCCCCCCCCCCCCCCCCCACTGTTCTATGTTTCCCTCCTGTTTGTTTGTTTTTATCGTGTTTTTTTGTCTTTCAGGTTCTGAAACACCAAAAACTGTACCTGTGTTTTCAGTGCTGTGTTGTCACCTCGCACTCTGCACCTCTTCACAAGCACGGCATCGCCTTAATGTGTTTTAGTGTGCACACCTGAGCTCACCATGCAACACAAACACGAATAATAACATCAGCAGACTCCGATAGCTTTGATTTTACTCCATTAGTTATTTTATACAAAATATGTGTAATTTATGGATTTTGTTTTGAGAACGCAGCTTTTGGGAGATAATTTCCCCAAAGGGACAAAAAGGTAAATACGATATTGATATTTTTTTTGGCTAATGATGTGTAAGACTCCACAGAGAGCATACAAATATAAAGTTTGTTTCACCAACAAATCGAAAAGACAGATTTCATTGATGTTTATCATCTTGTTGAATTTAACTCAAAATGAAGACCAAGAAGCCTGCGAGCGAACACCTGAGTGTGTAGCGTAGTGTCCCATTGTGACGTGGTGGCATGGTGTGTGTGTGTGCGTGCGTGGACCATGTGTCAGCCAGACCTCCACCTTGTCCTGTTGGTGTTGAACAGTTCCTGCTTGGCTCACTGTTGCCTGTAGATGTTTGTTCCATCTGGTGCTGATGTGTAACCAGCAGCTGATTCATTCCCGAGTTGTTGTAACAAGCTGAACGTTCGGCTTTTGAATGAGTGACAGTGGAAGACAGTCACGTGTTTGAAAACGGGCCCTGGTGACACGCGAGCTGCGGTGCAGCGGTGTGAGCAGGGCTGTGTTTTTGAGCAGGTGTGCTGTGTTTTCGACAGGGCTACCAGTGGTTGAAGGACAAGATCTTGAGCGAGGAGGGCCGGCGTCAGCAGGCGAAGTTGAAAGAGCTGCAGGCGATCGCGGAGCGGCTGGGCTGCACTCTGCCCCAACTCGCCATCGGTACGCAGATACATTCTGCTGCTCTCTCTCTTTCTGTCTGTCTGTCCGTCCCTCTGCCCGGAACTGGCCGGGGTCAGTGGCGCTCTCACCGCTGTCCCGTGTGTGTGTGTGTCTTCACCCCATTCTGCTGAATGAAACAATGGTAAATCAAGTCTCCAGATCTGACGTGCGAAATATGTTTTTAGACGGATGTGAACTTTTTCTTGGTGTTTAGGTGCAGGTGTTAGCATCAAAACGGCGTCCCAGAGATGAATCTAGCAGATGAATAGATTTTTTAATTGATTTGAATTGAATGACATATCAATTCACTGCCGGGTGGCAAGGTGAGAATCTGCTAATCAGATAAACAAAATAAGGCGAGCAGCCATGAGAGAGCCGCTGCAGCACCAATTATTGGCGAGGCGATGAGTGAACCTGGGATTTTTACAAACTCACAGCAAAACTGTGTCATTAATTAATTTTCACAGCCTGTTAGTGGACAGCCTGAACCGGTTTGATTTCCATGAATCCTTTTTAGAGCTTCTGAAGGAGGCAGCACAAGGATTTGTCCATGCAGCACAGTCCTCCAACTCTTGTTGGCATTCTGGTGTTGAATCAAAACGAGGTAACAATGACATGCTAATGCTAAATTGAGGGTTTAGACTGTAGATATGACTAGAGATGTGAGTCTCTTGGAGGCCGTCTGCTCGTGTGTTAAATAGACGGGGAAAATTCCTTTTAACGTTCTTTTCAGGCTGTTTTCTCAATTTGTGTTGAAACAATCCTACTATTTTTGCAGCCATATTTTCACTCCCTTTATGCTTTAATCTACTTACAAGTGTGTCTTTCTCAATTGCAGGAGCGTTCAGTTGTGTTGCATAATACAGCTCAGAGTTAAAACGGGTATTTTTGTGTCCCGAGTATTCAGAGCATCACAAAAACGTCAGGTTTTCTTGTGTCGTCAGTGGAGTGTGGCACTGGAATCGAACAAAATGCATTTATAAATCACTATGAGAGCGGTTTGTCCCGCTTCATCTGTAGAAGTGTTTATCATCAGGGAGGATGTGTCCAGGATGTCCTTGGAGAAGGGTCTGATTGTGTGTCACGATGGGCAGCATATGTTTGTGGCTGAATCATGGATGTCGTGTGTGTGTGTGTGTGTGTGTGTGTGTGTGTGTGTGTGTGTGTGTGTGTGTGTGTGTGTGTGTGTGTGTGTGTGTGTGTGTGTGTGTGTGTGTGTGTGTGTGTGTGTGTGTGTGTGTGTGTGTGTGTGTGTGTGTGTGTGTGTGTGTGTGTGTGTGTGTGTGTGTGTGTGTGTGTGTGTGTGTGTGTGTGTGTGTGTGTGTGTGTGTGTGTGTGTGATGGGGCTGTCATCACTCTTTGCCTGATCTCCTGCAGCGTGGTGCCTACGGAATGAGGGGGTGAGCTCGGTCCTATTAGGGGCATCCAACACGGACCAGCTGATGGAGAACATAGGAGCGATTCAGGTAAGACGTCGGAAGACTTTTCATTGGTTAAAGTGTGTGTGTGTGGGGGGGGGGTTCGTGCCTCCCAGTGCGTAACTGCAGCCTCTTGGGTAGTTTGCTGCTGCACGCTCTGCTGCTTTACTGTACCACGTTAATAAGGTCAGCTGAGTATCCGTTGCCGTGGGGATTGGAGATGAGCTCTCGGCCACTTCTTCCTCTGCTGATAAGACTCGCTCTTTAATGGGGTTCTCAGACGGGTGGTGGTGGTGGGGGTTTAGGTCCTCTCCTCACATGTGCTGCCTGCCAGAACGAACATCCCTGCTCTCCTCACCCTGGTGCTGTGTGTTGATGCCCGTGCACTTTAAAAGTCCCCCCCAGTACATAAAAGTATTTCCATTTTAAAATGCTACGCTCACATTTCCTAAAGTCTCTGTTTTGTATAATAAACTCTGAAATAGACTAAAGTTCCATCTGTAGGAACTTTTCTCACCCCAACACATTGAAAAAGTTTTTTTTCTGCCTCTGTTTGGAAACGTTTCATTTTATGCAGTTTGTGAAAATGTTGGAACATCTGTCAGAAATATCCAGACCTTAAAATCTTCAGATTAAAACAACCTGGTAATTATTTTTCTGTTGTTTTTATGCTGAAAAAAATCCGTTTGAGAATAATTTGCTAAGAATTTTTTTTTCATTAGTGTGAATCTGAATGTAGATAAATTGTACAAAAATATCTTTTTCCCTTTAGCACCACCCACAGGCCATGTTGTGAAGCTACATCTTGTGATTTTATTAAAGAGTAAAAAATACCCACATGTGCGTTTGTCCCACAGGTTCTACCGAAGTTGTCGTCATCCATCACACATGAGGTGGACAGCATCCTGGGGAACAAGCCGTACAGTAAAAAGGACTACCGCTCCTAACGGGAGGTGCGGCCCCGCCCGGCAGGGCTGCACCCAGCCTGCAGCTGCAGCGCCCCACCTTTGCCTGATCCTCTGTTTGCTTGAGCTTTTACTGAGTGAGACCCTGGCGCATGAGTCTGGCCTCACCGAGGCCACGCAGGGCACCTCATTTAGAGTTGCGGAGATAAGAAGAGGGAATAAATACAGGCACCTCCACAGGAACGGGACGGGTTGCGGATGAGTAAGAGAGATTAGAGATATGCGCTCACAAGTAAATTAGTTACACATTCTATTCAGCCAAAAGTATTTTAAAACCATAGAGAAAATGTAGGTAAAAGTATCGTTTTAAGAAAAAATAATAAGCACATGCTTGCTTGGCAGCCAGATTTCTTTTATTCATTTTTTCCAAAATCTTTTTCTAAAACTGAATGCAACTTTAAAAAAAGAGGTACATACTGTATGAATATATGAGAACTGCTGTTGCACATGTACCATAGCCATGCGTTTGTTCTGAGACGTTCTGTTTACAAACATGCGTGTACTGTAAAAGTCCGTCGAGGTTTCTCTGAAAGGAAAGTTATTGGCCCTTTTGGAGGGCTTCAACAATCAGCACTTTAGTACAGTCAGTACAGGTGTTAGAGGGTGGTTCTAGGGAAGGGAGAGGATGGGTATGGACGTCGTCGTCTCACAACCATTGCACTATAGAGTCTCGTAGATTCCTCTCCTTGTCCTCCCTGTGTTTTCACTGGCAGTACACTTTGTCCAGCCTAGACGCTCCTGATCTGTGTCCTGACCCGTTGGCGTTCTGCCGCGACGTTAGAAACTCGGGCTGCGCTCGTCTGTTTCACTGTGTTCCCCCGCTCGTTGCACAGGGAGCGGTCACATCTTACCCAAACCTCTCCTTGATCAAGTTTTGTTCAAGTATTTGCCTTATTTAGCAGTTGGATCAAACTGTGCTCTTGGCTTTGGCGTGGGCGGGCAGCTCGGCGGCTGGCCGCTCATCACCCCCTCCCCCCCTAGAAACGCTGGCTGGTGGAAACTGGTGCATGTTGCTGGGAGCGTCCGGTCTTCTTTGATGAGCGGCAGCAGCTCAGGGAATGGAGAAGGTGGTTTAGGGGAGGTTGTCTTTATGTCTGCGGATGCTGGAAAGGGCCAGTGACTTTTTAAGCGTGGCTCGAGCCAAAGATTCTTCATCTATTTTTAGCCGACACACTCCAGTGTTTTTCTCACCCTCTGCAAGAATATAGGAGTCATCTTGAAGCATGTGCTGTCCAGCTTATCTATTTATGGTATGGACCTTCCTCCTTATGTATATCGTTACCCGACCAAACGAGTATGCCCTTCATATAACCAGAATGCGTAGTTCGGCTAAGTGCTTTAGGACTGGTAAGGTTTGTTTAAAGCAGCAGATGATCTGACATGCATCAGTATTATCTCAGACATCACGACGCCGCCCCACATTTTAGTTTTCATCCTTTGGGGGCTCTCTTACCGTGATTAAAGCACAAATGGACGTAAGCATGTGATGACACCCTCAGCATGGGCCTTCTTCGCCTATCTACAGGATGAGTAAGGAGATGCTTCTCAGCTTCCTAACACGTGTAGATTAAACTTTAAAGCTGATAAATTGTTGATTCTTAGCAGAAATTTAAAAAAAAAGTGTGCAGATAAAACCAGTAGAGATGTAGGAGCTTCTCAGCTAACGTTTAAGGGATAATCAAAGTGACTGTGTTGGATTTGTGTGAGTGAGATTTGCAGTTGAACAGCAAAGCCATAAGAGGTCTAAGCTGTTGGTTCTCATGTGTGTTTGTGTTTCTGGACTGGGAACGACTCAACTGGTCCCACTGTTTAAGCCTTCTGTAACAACTGGTCTCTGTTGAAGTCTACTTTGATGTGTCTTGTTTGCTAGAGTAAAAAAAATGCCGTTTTCTCAGCGTCCAAAAAGAAAAACTTAGTTTGTCCGTGGAGTTCCTGTGTCTTGATATTTACGTCTGCAGGGAGTGGAATAGAAGTCTGAGACTAAAAAGGAAATTTGTGACATTTTGAAAGAAGGGCTTATTTTTTCTTGCTGCAAAATGAGACCGATACCACTCTTCTATCTCTGCTAAATATGACCATCAGCTTATCCCAGCACAAAGAGCAGCCCAGGGGGAAAACTGCTTTATCTCCATCCTGCAGTAACAAAATCCACCTGCAAGCTCCCTAATTAGCATATCGGTGCCCGTTTGTTCCATCCATACACAGAAAAGTACTACAAATCGTAATTTGATGAGGCTGTTATTTACTTGGCCTCGTGACAACCTAGAGACGACTAATGAAATTCAAGAAGTAATCCCTTTTAAACCGTGCTTCTCAAAAACAAAACGGTTATATAAGAATAAATACATTTTCGTGTCAGGATCTTCTTATAAATGAATTATGTGCTTTTATTTTGATAAAGCCCAACTGCAGTCCCTCACTATCCACAGGCTATATAAAGAGTGCTGGAACCTCAAGTAGGAGGAGAGAGAGGACGTTAAAATGCTCCAAATAGATCGGTCATTTTAGTGATCTTAACCCGTTAGTACAATACTGATTATCTACAACTGGAAGGAGTTCTTTGAGCCTCTGGATAATGATGTTTGACCCAGGAGCTCTGATAAATAGCTTGGGCTAGTATGAGCAGTAGCTCATGCTAGCGTTAGCCGTTGCTTAGGTGTTTCTCAATGTCAAGGCGCCTGGCTTAAGAGGACATTGTCCTTCCTTGGTCAGAGAAAATGGTTAAACAGACTTACCTCACATGACCGTGGCAGTCATGTGACACGTGAGGTAAAGGTATAAGTTTCAGTATAAATGTATAAGGAGCCTTTTACTTTCTTAATTGTGTATAGAATGGTTAAAATAAATATGTACGCAACTTTGTACCCACTAGCCACCGAAGCTGCAGCTACTAACCAAACATGGATAACTGCTGTGGTCTAAAAATACATTTTAGATATAAGCCCAATAGCTATAATTAGTTGACTTACATTTAAACTGGAACTTTTTCCCCAAAGTAGCTGCCAGCTCCTGATCCACTAATCTTTTGCAGCGAGACACGTGCCATATATCCTTGGTCAGTTAGCTAAACGGCGAACAAACGGAGGACAGACGCCTCCGACGTTCCTGATGATGCATCTCCTAAGACATCAAGGCGAAGTTCCTTGACATTGAGAAACACCCGTAGTGTTGACAGTGGCTCATGCTAGTGTGGCAAGGTGGAGAAACGAGGGCCCGGGCGGGATTCGATCCCCAGACTTCCGGGTGAGAGTCACGCACGCCTACCAGTCAGCCAAAGGGACATCCCTTTGGCCAAGAAGCCAGGGCGCATAATCAATCGGGACACTGTGACAGGACGCTCACACTGCCACACTAGCATTAACTGTAACCTGGGCTAGCATTGTTCTGCAGCTTGCATAACCACAACCTCGTCGTTTAGATGCTGATGCTGGTGGGCTGGAACTCTCTCTGTGACTATTAACACATTATATTTTACAGAGGAAAGCAGGTGAGAGGAGGCAGACTTTTTGATTTGAATAACAAAATAAATGTGGTTTTACATTCTACTTGAGCTATTTTGCAGAATATGTGAACCCGACTACAAGCCACATTTTTATCTCTCTAAATTAACTGATGCACATGCAATGAAGCCTAAAAATAATTTAGTTATGATTTAAGAAAAGGAACAAAGCTTTTAACTTTGTTTCTGGTTAGACTTGAACCCTGGGACTTCTGATCCAACATATTCAGCTGGTGAATGGGAGAGTGGTGTTCGTTTTCCTAATCCAGTCAGAAATTTCAGTAAGCCAGTTTCACAAATAGTCTCTTTTCCTTCTAACAATAACGCTGTGCATTTCATGAGCCTTTTGGTTGTTTGAGTGTTCTGACCTGCTTCCTAAAAAAGTTGATGCAAATTTAAGAAAACACTGTGTGTGTGTGTGTGTGTGTGTGTGTGTGTGTGTGTGTGTGTGTGTGTGTGTGTGTGTGTGTGTGTGTGTGTGTGTGTGTGTGTGTGTGTGTGTGTGTGTGTGTGTGTGTGTGTGTGTGTGTGTGTGTGTGTGTTTAGCTCTGTGGGGGAAATCAATGCTTTAAAGAGGTCCTAGTTTCATTGTGTCCCCTGTTCTAATGATCCACAGATGGATGGAGCGTAGGTCACAGAGAATATATTTTTATGTTCTAGCCTTTAATGCCATAGAGAGTTGTATTATTGTCATCATGCTGCAGTATCTTGTCAGTAAGGCGTCTACTTGAAGACTGGCAAATAAAAACTATTTTGTTAATGCATCATGATGAAGGCTGGAATGCAGCGTTGTACTGAAATCACTCTGGAGACAACTTCGCTAGAGCCTGGTACCTTCTGTACATACTCCAACCCTTGTACATATTTCTGGTTGTGATCACCTCTGCCTTTTTCTCTTTTTAGTTGGCTTTATTTTAAAGTTGCTTTATTTTTTATTTGTTTTTTTTTTTTTGCAGGCGTTGCACTGTGCTTGAAACGTAGGCAGGATGTACAGCGTTGGTCTTCAGTGAAAATAAAATTAAAATCAGAGAGACTGGTAAACTAAACCTGGGTGTGTCTGTCTTTATTTGGGATGTTTAAGAAGGTGGGTGGTTGGTTTAAAGTCTTTTTGCTCTGTAAACATCCGTTTAAAATATAAATACGAAGCAATTTATACACAACCTGTTCCAGTAACTCTTCAGATCTACTTTCTAAAACAACCTCAGCATCGGATTCAGTCTCTGAGTTGTCAGATGATTCATATACAGTACCTGCAACATAATCGCTGAAAGTGCTGTGGAGGCAAACACAGTCTCTCACTCTGCACTTTGAAGGTGGGAATATTGTCACTTTTATCCCGCTGATCCAGTTTGGAGTCTCTGCTTCTCATCAGTTTGTTTCCTGTTCATCCTGTCAGACTCGTCCTTTCACTTCAGCCTCTTCAGTAAAAACTGGCTCATCTGTTTTAGTTCTCCTGCTAGATGGAGCTGGTGTAATATGTTGCAAGTCCCCTCTGCTGCTCCCATGGGCATAGCGCGGAGGCCCCCCTGAAGAAATGCACACAAAGAGCCATGAGTCCCGCTCAGCAAGCACTCACATCCGATCAGAACAAAAACCACAGCGACGAGCGCTGCAGCGTCTGCAGATCTGCCCCTCACAGATGGTAACTGAACACTGTCAGCACTTATTTACTCTGCTTTCACCAAGTCAGCAGCTGGAGTATCTCTGTAGTTCTGACTCACCTGGCGTTTGCATACATTAATCATTACCTTCCTGACAGAGAAGTCCGATCCAGCTGTGAGGACAGAGGCAGCGGCCACTGCGACGGTCACACGGGGCTCCATTCTCACACTCGCACGTCTCCGTGCAGTCCGGCCCGTAACGATCGGCTCTGCAGTCTGACACAAACGCACCGAGGTGGCATTTAAAACCGATCGATACCTTCACCAGGTGGAGGTGGTCCCTGGCTTCGAGCTCAGCTAATTGGTCACACAACAGAAAAATCTAAAGTGGTTTTCTGAGTTACTCCACAAACTACCTCTGAGACTGGGAGATGAGGGTTTAAATCCCGGTCGGGTCGTACCAAAGACTTTAAAAATGGGGCCCAAAGCCTCCCGCTTGACACTCAGCTTTAATGTAATCAGATATGACTACACAGATACACACTGTTGTGTTTCCATTTAAAAAATGCATGTTTGTATAATAAATAGAAACTAACCTCAACCAGTTAATTAAAAAAGGAATTTTAAAAAATTCATGGAAACATTTCTTTAGTAAATAATTGACTTAATTGTATAAATTAAGACAAAAATATTTAATAGAACTTTATAAATGTCATGCTAAAAAGGAAGTGTGCAGAGGAATACAACACAATAAAACCTGCCCCATCTCCCTGACCTATGGGTAATTTTCATCTATCTAATGAAAAAGTATAACGTTACAAAAAGTCTTGTAAATGTCACAAATAATAAAGTTCATCCTACATTGTGAATCATGCATCATCAGTTTTGTTTCAACAGCTTTAAATGTTATTTTAGCATTTTGATTCCTCCAAGTCTGCTAATTTTATTAATAACATGACCAACATAATTAAAATGAATAAGTTATGTGATCCTAGAAGCTACATTTAATGTAAATCCTTCATTTAAAAAGGATAAATGCTTGAATTATTTTGCGTTTTCAACCTAATTATGTCTAAATTATATAAGAAATCTTTATATATTTTTCCTCCCGTAAAATAATTACTAAATGTTACCAGTATCACATCTGGGTCCAGTCTTCCCTGGAGGGCAGAAGCATTTTCCGGTCACAGAGTCACACGGAGTCCGGTTGTCACAGTCACACTCCTGGATGCAGTCCTGACCGTAGCGGCCCCGCTCACACACTGAGGGCAACAACAAATGTTTTCAGCGCATAAATCAGACGACAAAATGAGCATCAACATCTCTGACTGACCCCTGTGACACAGGGCTCCGTGGTATCCTGGAGGGCAGACGCACTCGCCCGACACCGGCTGACAGGAGGCGCCGTTCATACAGTCGCACTGCAGCTGACACAGCGGCCCGTGGAAACCGGGAGGACAAGCTGACGGGAAGGACAACACTCAACCTTTATGTTTCTGATTAATCATTAAAAAGAACTAACAGCTCAGAGTTTGAGCACAAACGCTTTTCTGCTCTGACGAGAGCTCGATTTAGCCTTCAGTGACTGAGCTGAAATAAAAAAAGCAAGGCCATTCTTTGTGTGTCAGTTCACACCATGTTCACACAGAAGTCCGTAGTAGCCCGGACCGCACCGACACGTCCCCATCACTCTGTCACAAGAGCCATTATTGTGACAGCTGCATTTTAGCTGACAGTTGGCACCGAATCGGCCCGCAGGACACTCTTTGTCGCAGCGATCACCCGTCCAGCCCAGACCACAGGTGCAGTTGCCGGTTGCAGGATCGCACAGTCCTTGGTTGCTGCAATTACAGCGTTGGTTGCATTCTGCTCCAAACCAGCCTGAAGGGCAGCCTGAAGTCAAACGCACATATTTTCATTAATTAAATCAGGTGAAAAATGTCTGAGGTAAAGAATAAATCTACATTTGTGATAGGAAAGACAAGTGCAAAAAGACTAAAATGTGTTTTTTTGTCGTCAACAAAGAACCTTTGACACTAACAGCTGTCGTACCACAAGCTCACCTTGATTACAGCCCTCTCCTCTGCGACCAGGGGCGCACACACATCGACCTGTGATTGGGTCGTTCTGGGCTCCATCGCCACACAGGGCCACCTGAGAGCAGTTGACTCCGTAACGCCCGGCAGGACACGCTGTCCCCGCAGAAACACACATTTGTCACCTCACCTTGTTATTTCATGTGTTTGTCCGAATCTCAGAGACTCACTGATGTTGCAGCGTGGTCCAATAAATCCTGCTGGACATTCACACACTCCCGTTGAAGGAGCACACTTCCCTCCATTTTTGCATTGACACTCTCGCTCACAGCTTGGACCGTATCGACCATCTTCACAAACTGAAAACAGGCTATTTCAGTCTCTTTGAATGACCTGTTTACTGTAATATTTCTACATGTGTTTCATCCTACTTTGGTCACATTTGGGCCCAAGGAAACCTGGAGCGCAGTAACACAATCCAGACACCGGGTGGCAGAACTGGTTCGTCTCTGAACACTGGCAGACCTGATTACAGTTTAGTCCAAATGTTCCTGGGATACAAGCTGACAAAGATGGATGCACCAGTGAGTTTAAAACCAAGGAATATGCTGCTCTTTCCAAAGGGGGTTTGAAAAACACAGATTAGTGCTGCAGGACTTACTCTGTTCACAGCCGTTTCCTGTGAATCCAGGAGGACAGCCACACTCTCCAGAGACGTGGTGGCAGGACGTGCCCTGTGCACAGCTGCAGCGCTGCATGCAACGCTCCCCAAACATACCCGGCAAACACACTGGAGGAAACAGAACCAGAGCAAATTCAAGGCTTTAACTTTTGCACATCTTCATTTTGCCTCACAATATTGGCATTAAAATGTAATAACAGTAAATATCGGTATCGGGTTTCAGTTCTTTTAATGACAAGTTTAACATACCACACATTACGTACATCAAACTCTTCAACTTGTTTTAAACCGTCTCAAAATGTAAAAATGTGACAAATCTGAGGTAAAGTTTGAGATATTTTAGTTTATTTAGCACATCTTGTGAAGTAGAAATTTGCCTGTGTAGTGAGCATATGCTGTTCTCAGCACGTAGCTATGTGTAGCTAGACAGCTAACAACTAAAACAATCTTCAGCCAAGGCTTGATAACTACTTGTCCATATACAAGTGTGGGTCATAAAATTCAAATATGACTGAATTTTTTTCAGTAGTAGTTATCTACAACTTACTGGTAGATGGCTGCATTGACCCTTGACCTCATAAAACACAATGGACCAACACCAGCAGATGACATGGTGCCCCAAACCATCACTCACTGTGGACACTTTACACTGGACCTCAAGCAATATGGGTTCTATGCCTCTCCTCTCTTCCTCCAGACTGATTTCCAAAAGAAATGCAAAATTTACTTTGACCAGAGATCATAACTTTGGACCACTCAGCAGCAGTCCAGTCCTTTTAGTCTTTAGCACAGGCAAGACACTTCTGAAGCTGTCTCTTGTTTAAGAGTGGCCTGACACAAGGAATGCAACAGCTGAAACCAGATCTTGCACACATCTGTGTGTGGTGGTTCTTGAAGCACTGACTCTAGCTGCAGTCCACTCGGTGAATCTCCCACAAATTGTTGAATGGGTTTTGTTTCACAGTCCTCTCCAGAGGTTATCCCTTTTGCTCGTACACTTTTTTTCTCACCACATCTTGTCCTTCCCTTTGCCTCTCTATTAACGTGCTCGGACACAGAGCTCTGTGAACAGCCAGCCTCTTTAGCAGTGACCTTTTGTGTCTTTTCATCCATGCGCAAGGTGTCAATGGTCATCTTTTGGACAATTGTTAAGTCAGCTGTTTTCCCCATGACAGTGTAGCCTACAGAACAAGACTGAGACCCTTTAAAAGCTCCTGCAGGTGTTTTGAGTTAATTAGCTTATTAGAGTGAGGCACCATGGGTCTTCAGTACTAAATCTTTTCACAATATTTTATGTTTATGTTTATTTATTTGGCAGACGTTTTTATCCAAAGCGACGTACAATTTTTAACTTGTAGGGCATGTTGTGATCTGTAGGGGAAACTGGAGTACCCGGAGGAAACCCATTTTGATATTCTGTGATACCAAATTTGGGATTTTCATTAGTTGTCAGTTATAATCATCAAAATTAAAGAAACAAACTTTTGAAATGTATCGGTCTGTGAGTAATGAATGAATCTAATATACAAGTTTCACTTTCTGAATGAAACTTCAGAAAATAAATCAACTTTGTCATGTTATTCTAATTTTATGACCAGCACTTGTATGTATACATCTAATATTTGTGAAGCAATGTATTCTGGCTTTGTTGTCTGGTTAGAGGTGAATCTGGTTCACCAATAAGAGGCGTTCCTTACAGCTATATTATGTAACCAGGGAGAAAATACAAATAAAAACTGGTGCAATACATTTTCCCGCCACTAGGTGGTGCCCTCTGAGGAAAAAAACGTAGGATTTCTGCTTCTTAAGAGAACAATGAATGCAACCCTAGAAATAAATAATGTGATCAATGCAACAGTGAATGTGTGACACAATCAAAGCTTAAGATGATCCAAGAACATTTTACAGCATGTTAGCTTTTTAAGGGAGCAAGCCCTTTTTCAGCCAGGCAGCGTAATATACTCCTTTACATGTTTCTAAATTCATAATGTAGTCTGTTGGGATGTGTTTATATAGTTCAGTTAAAATTATGAGATCTTTATGTATTTTACTGGTGTGTATTTTTTAAACCCTTACAGGTGTTTACATGTGTTTTAGCCACTTCTGAAATTCTCTGCACATAAATTATGAGAATAAAAAAGGAAAACTGCACTTTTATTCCACTTCTAATTGATTTCTATGACTGGATGCAAACTGATTTGGAAACATTGGTTTACCTTTATCACAGAGCTTCCCCCTCCACCCCGGCGGACACTGACAATCCCCAGTCACGTGATGACAGGAAGCCCCGTGCGCACACCGACATCTCTCCTTGCATCTGACACCAAACAGGCCAGATTTGCACGCTGCTCACAGGAAGATTAGAATAAAAAGTATTATTATTAACAAAAACACACAGATTCACCATCATGTCTGCTTAGTTTCCAGAGAGCAGCTGCTGAACATGAGGTCAACGTTCCTTACACTTTAGACCAGGCGTGTCCAAAGTGCGGCCCAGGGACTGATGTAGTGCTACCCGGATAGCGTTCTTAAAATGGTCAAAATGTATCTTTCCAGCCGGCTGCTGATGTAAGTTGATACTTAACTGTTTTCTGTTCAGGTTTTTACCAATATTGCCATTTCCCACCTTCATCACAGCGATCTCCGGTCCAGCCGCTGGTGCAGCGGCAGCGGCCCGTCTTTATGTTGCACTGGCCTCCATTTTCACAATCACACATCTGCTGGCAGTCCACTCCAAAACGACCTGCTGCACACTCTGTGAACACACAGTTAGTCACAGGATCGCGTTTTTTTTTATGGTGGCTTTGGACTTTGGAGGGTAAAGAGCACGAGAAGGGACCTGGAATGACTCAACAGAGGGAGGATGGTTGGAAGTAGCTTCACCACAGCCGAGTTGACTCTCGGAGAGCCAACTCGGCTGTGGTGAAGCTACCGGGAAAGTAAACCAGACTTCCAAACAAATGAGCTCAGGCAGCGAAATGAAAATCAGACCCAAGAACAAAAAACCCAGTCTATGAATTTAAAATGGTTTAAATGGTTCAGGTTTTGTCTCCATTTTCTCTCCATCATCTCTAAATCAGATAACTTCACCGTATTTAGAATGTGGAAAACAAACCTATCCTTTAATTGAAGACTGACTTCTTTATTTTCTCACAATGAGATATTATCTGAAAAACATGAGGGTGTTTTTTTTTATTTTAATTTTTTCCTTTCAAATTCAAATAGTTTATATAAGGTGGCTAGACCTCATTAGATTTGTCAGCATTTTCCAGATTTCAGGAATTAGTTGGCTAAGGGGAATGTTATTCTAAATGAAGGCCAGGAACAGAAATAGAGGTTATTTGTAATAAATCTTCATTGCATTTTAATCCACTCCAACACAGTGAAACGTTAACATACCCAGTTCACAGGCTGTTCCCGTCCATCCGCTCTCACACAAACATTTTCCATCAGTTTTATTACAGGTGGCTCCATTCTGACACAAGCAGCGCTGCTGGCAGTCTGCTCCATAAAAGCCAGCGGGGCATTCTGAGAGAAAAACAGAGATGACACAAATTGTGACTGTTTTTCTTTACCTGAATCAAAGAGGATCCCTCAACTCTGCTGCGGAAGCTCACCGTCTGCGCACTTGGGTCCGATCCAGCCCGGCGTGCACACACACTCTCCGCTGGCCAGGTGGCAGATGCCACCATTCAGACACACGCAGGTTTGGTTACATCCCTTCCCATGGAAGCCAGCTGGACATGCTGCCAGGAGACAGACAAGCAGTCTCTTTACCTCCTGGTGAACTTTGATGATCAAAGGTGGAAGTTCCAGAGTTTGGGAAGCGAGACACGCCTTGGTATGGGGAGTGCCACAACGGTACTTTCTCATATGAGACTGAGATGGGCTTTCCCAAATTTCTATGAAACTGACAACTTGTCCTTTGATTGGAGTTCTCGTCGATAAAAAAGTGCAACAAAAACAATTTGATGGCTCCAATTATCAAGTCACCTGCACCGATAACTCACTCAGGTTGCAGGAAGGCCCGATCCAGCCACTTGGACAAGAGCAGATGCCGGTGATGTGATCACAGCTCCCGCCATTCAGACACAAACACTTCTTCTGGCAGTCCAGACCATAGAAGCCCTGAGGACATGCTGAAAAACACACACACACACACACACACACACACACACAAACACACACACACACACACACGTGACCTTTCACTGCAAGGTCTACGATGAGTTTGGCTTCATGATGCAGGAGTTTCTCTTACGCTTCTCGCAGAAGGTGCCCGTCCATCCCACCTGGCATGTACAAGCTCCACTCACATGGTCACACAAGGCTCTGTTTTCACACTGACACCGATGGAGACATCCAAGGCCAAACATACCCGCCGGGCACTCTGAGGTAACATCAAACACACAAAAGCAAAGATCAACAAGAGTAAAACCACAGTAACTCATAAAAGCACAACAAAAGTCTTTGTGTGAAGTTTCAAACATGTGTCTCTATCGCCCTCAGGTGGAATTTTCTAGGAAAAACAGCTGCACACAAAAAAAATCACATGAAATCTTATTGTTTCAAGCTGTGATGATGCATGTGGTTTTGTCTTGTCTTTGTGAACCTGTCGTCACATTAACACGCAGCCCTAAAAACACACCATCAACAGCTGCACTTATTTTGTCAACAGAAGGCTGTCACAACATTGCAAGATGAAAATTACAGAGAAGATTGTTTTTGAGCAGTCCAGAAGATGTGAGTCATAACTGACAGGAATGCAGAGTTTCTTTGCTTTAGTGTTTCTGTAAGTAAAAACATAAACATCCTCTAATTAAAGCTCAGAGTATAAATTAAAAAATGTTTTTTTGATGTGACGTAAAACTGATTGGAAATGATAAACAATATGTTGGTCATTTCGGTCACTTTGAAGTGCATCATCTCTGCAGGCAACACAAGTTTATGAAAATTTATGACATTTTTCACTTTATTGATGCCACAATAACAATTAAAGCCTGACGCATAGAATAATTCAGAGCAAAATATATTTAAATGGGTTAATACAACAGTTTTGGAGAAGAAAGGTGCGTCAAACATGAAACATTTAGAGTAATAGGCTAAAAGAGCTCAATCTAGTCTTCTAGTTAAAGGTATAGCAGAGGATGTTTCTGAATTTCAGCAAAGAACTGCCCGCTCCTCGTTTTGGAAAAAAAATGCGCATGAGAAAGAACGCCCAGTTATCCTCGTTACAAGTAGCCGCCGGCCTTGCGGCCAACTTCTTCTAGCAGTAATCTGAAATTAATTTCTCCAAATAGTATACCGAACTTCAGCTTACCTGTCGAGCAGAAAACTGGCGACAGGTGTCGGTGGGAAGCCAACCTTCGCTTTGTGCAGGACGTGAAAGCTACCCAACAACGTACGGCGACGGCCTTGCATGAACGGTTCACCAGAATGACTGACAGTTAAGCGGACCAATGGTTCAGATGATCCACCTGATAGAAAAAGATCCTTTTCTATACCTTTAAATGAAGTTTGTACCTAAAACTCTGTTTCCAACATGATTAATACGAGATAAGTGTATAAACTTAAGCTGACAGTGACAAAAAAAGGGTTTTCTGAATTAAATCTCGTAGCTAATTTTTAAAATCTCTACACTTGTTCTTAGTTTCAACATGGGATTTCAGACACAAATCAGTGTAGGTAAACAGACTTAAAGATACTCCTTCAAATGTGAGTTTCAGCGATTCTTGAAGTAGAAACGTTACCAACTTCAATTTGTACTTAACGGTTTTGTTGAAGGGTAAGAGCCCTAGGGGGAGCTGTTTACTATTCTGATAGCTAATATAAAGGCTAGCATTTAGCTTTTTCAGTTTGCACAAGAATAAGAAAAAAGATTTTTGCTTTTTTGTTGGCATCATAACAGAACCTGGAAATTAAAGTAAAAGACTAATGTCTTTGGAGGCAAAGCAAAGAGCTAAAACCAGAGTAAACATTGGCGCAGCCTGCACTCGTTTAAGGGAGCTCAAGCTATGAAATCACAGACTCATGGTGACCTGGCTTTGTTGCTACTGGACTTGTATTTATATTTTTTGTCCAACAGTGTGGATCTTTTAATTTAGGAGTTCATTTAGTGTAAGTTGGCCTGTCTTAGTGCTAGCTTGTTGTTACTAGCTACAACATGGTCCAACACACTTGATTCAGTGGTTGAATCACCTGTTCAGCAGCTCATCAGGCTCTGCAGAAGCATGTTAATCACCCAATTTATCAAGCTTGCTTACGCACAAAACGGGATCGGAAAACTGCGTAAGCAACTTTCCACGCAAACTTTGGGATTCATGAAAGAAAACTTAGCAGAAAAATGTGCGCAACTTTAAGTTGACTAAGGACCTGGCTTACGCACATTTTGGACATGGAGAGCACCTGCAGTGCTGCTGCTGAGAAGGATAAAATTATGAAATCCTGCAGCATTATCACTTGTACTGCTTCATTTTCACACAGAACAAGACCCCCCCCCACATGCACACACACGCGCGCACACTCACACACACATGCGTGCACACTCACACACACTCACGCACAGCCTTAAGTGCAGAATACGGAATGCAGAATATCAGCAGGGGGCAGATTGAGACAGAATGTCATGCGTCTGTGACAGTGTGTGTCCTGTCACTGTGACCCGACTGATGATGCGCCCTGCCTACTTGGACAAGGGAGATCTCTGTTTGGGTGACTGATTAGCATGTGTGAATTTCACCTTGGAGTCTGGGGATCGAATCCTGATTGGACCATCTTTTTAATATCCGCCACAGATCTCTCTGAAGAACTCACAACATTGACGGCTTCAGCAACGCTGTGACTCTCCGTGGATTTTCTCTTATTTGTTTTGCAAAAGCACTTCCTTTCATTTCTCCACTTCACCCACAAGTACCTCAATTTCTGCTTCTGTGAAATAGCGCTTCCTTGATCTACGGTCGCCATCGTCATTGGCGGAGCGCTGCAACAGCCGGCTTATGTATATGCATGAGATCCACAAGGCACTTTGCATTGACTATTTATGGCAGTAAGTGGGCGTGGTGAGGGTGGGATGTGACTAAAAAGCAGCTGAGGACCTTTCTAGATAGTTTCTGATTTATGAAGCAGAGATTGTGTGCAGCTGTGCATACTCCATGTTTAATAGATCACAAACCTACTTGGCGCAAGTACATTTTTTTGTTTTTTGCCGAGCTTAAGTACGGTTTTAGTAAGGATTCTACGCAATGTTTGATAAACGAGACCCCTGCTGATTGAAATCAGGTGTGTTGAAACAGGGTTAAAACTAAAACGTGCTGGAGACCAGCCCTCCAGGACCAGAATTGAATACCCCTGCTGTGAAGGGTCATTTTAGTACATACCGGCTCAAGAAAATGATTGAAAAATCTGAAAAAAGTTGCATAGTGTGTCTTTAAAGGGTAGGGTGGGTTTGTTTTAGTCTGATTTATTTACATGGCCATTTCATACCAAATGTGTGACCTGAGTGGTTGTCAGTTTAGTGTCACTAGTGGGTGAAAACATACTCTGATCGCAACGATTTCCAGTAAAACCAGCCTCACAGATGCACTGGCCCGTCACAGCATCACATCCACCATCTCCATTTCTGCAGTTGCAGGTTTCTGCACAGTCAGCTCCCCAGTGTCCTGAATCACAGGCTGAAACACAAAGTGTGTCAGAAAACATCGGGAATCTCTGCTAATATTCTGATCAGCTCAGAAGGTGCATGGCTCCATCAGCGTGATCGCCCTGGCTGTCCTCTTACCTTTCCCGCAGTTGTGTCCAGTCCACCCAGGGGAGCAGCTACACCGCCCACTCACTGGGTCACAGCGAGCATTGTTCTCACACACGCATTTCATCTGGCATCTTTGACCGAAGTTTCCACTCGGGCATGCTGCACAGCCAAAAAAAACAGTAACCTAAACATCTAAATCAACCCACTATAACCATCAGATTGAACATGAAGCAAGTCCCCACGACAGCTTCTGCACTGCGATTCAGCCGACGGATGGGAGACAGCAGTTGGTTAGAACAGAACCGGAGCTGCTCGTCTCAGAAAAAAAGAGCTGCACCATTTCTACTAATTACTCTGGAAAAATCCTCTTCTTGCGTGCTAAATCATTTCTCATCAGAACCGCACCCTCTGTATTCCACCGTGCTTCCATCCTCCTCGTGTGGAGGACTGTTTAATGCATGTTTCTATGGGAACCTCTAAAAAAATGCACGCTGCTGTTAACTCACAGTTTTGACACAGTCTTCCTATGAATCCGGTCAGGCAGTTGCACGAGCCGCTGTGTTTATCACACACTCCTCCGTTCTCACAAGCCGGGCAGGTTTGTTTGCAGCCGAGACCCCAGAAACCCTCCGGACACACTGTCAAAGATTGGCCACCATTGTTTTCATTCTGTGGAACTAAAGCATACGCTGGGCATGCAGATAAGTCTGTCCTTACTCACAGTTCTCACAGTGTTGTCCAAATGTCCCGGCTGGACACTGGCACTGCCCCGTCACTTTGTCGCATGGAGCTCTGCTGCAGTTGCAAGGATGGACACAACCAGTTCCAAACTGTCCTTCTGAACACTCTGACACAGACAGGATCCGTTTGCTTCAACACAGATTAAAAATTAATAGATAAATCAAATACCTCCATCCCCTCCAGCCATCTACCTTGTTCACATTTCTCTCCGTGATACCCAGGAGGACATTTCCGTTGGCATTCTCCAGTCACATGATCACAGGACACTCCTGGTGGACAGGAACATTTCCTCTCACAGCCAAATCCATAAGATCCTGGTTTACATTCTGGAGACCGAACAGAGCACTCAGACTATTCATCAACTAAAGAGCAAAGTCACGAGTACATCCCCCCTCCTGCTCACCTGATTACACTAAGTGCCTTAAAAGTTAGTTTTTCTTTATCAGATGAAACAATAATAAAGACATAACTTCTCTCTGGCTAGTTTTGAAAATATAAGAGTTTAGCTGTAATTTAAAGGACAGATTTGCCTCTAAAAGATCAGAGGTAGGGTTGAGAGACTGCCCATTTTAATGCCACTTTAAAAAAAATCTATGTTTTTCTATAAATTGTATTCAAAAGTTCCCACCAGGATTAACTATCTGCATAAGTAAATGGTCTGTGCCTTCTTAGGGTCCTACAACCCCCCAAGGCGCTTCACAATCAGTCATTCACACATTCATAATGATGAGGTACAATGTGCCACAGCTACCATGTGGCACACTGATGGAAGTGAGGCTGCTGATCACAAGTAAACATGACTACTGTGTTTTTTTTCCTGGCAGCAAAAAGCCTTTGGAGCTAAAAGACAAGCACATCCGACTCCCTCTCATCACTGGCAACGAGTGAGGAGGTGAATGTGCCAAACAACAATGTTTATTAACAGCAAACGTTTTGTAACCGTTTGCTAAAAGTCAGTAAATTCTTTTTGTCCTCACGGGCTCCTGTAGAAGCAAACATGGTTTCTAATTTGGCATCCCCCAGAGACTTAGACCCAATCCCAATACTCACACTTCCACACTTGCGCCCTTTAATTGCTCAATCCCGACAAGGGGTGCGAGTGCGAGTTATTTGCACACTTTCTCCAAGTGCACTTTGCTGAAGACCACAGGGCATTGTGCACCTTAGACCCACTCCCATGTATTTTAAACCTGATTTCAATTCATGTTATGACAATATTTTTCAACAACTGGGCGTCATTTCATTCATTTGAACAACATTTTAGCGGATATTTCCAGAGATTAACGGTGAAAACTACACACTGTCTCTTTAAAATTCCATTTTATGTCCCTTTGTCCCTTCAGCTCTTGCTGGGTAGGTTCGCGGCCGAATGTGAAGCGGCTGGGATGAGGATCAGCACCTCCAAATCTGAGACCATGGTTCTCGACCGGAAAAGGGTGGCTTGCCAACTCCGGGTCGGGAGAGAGGTTCTACCTCAAATGGAGGAGTTTAAGTATCTCGGGGTCTTGTTCACGAGTGAGGGTAGGAGGGATCGGGAGATCGACAGGCGGATTGGTTCGGCGTCTGCAGTGATGCGGACGCTGAGCCGATCTGTCGTGGGGAAGAGGGAGCTGAGCCAGAAAGCCAGGCTCTCGATTTACCGGTCGATCTACGTCCCAATCCTCACCTATGGTCATGAGCTTTGGGTAATGACCGAAAGAACGAGATCGCGGATACAAGCGGCCGAAATGAGTTTCCTCCGTAGGGTGGCCGGGCTCAGCCTTAGAGATAGGGTGAGGAGCTCGGACATTTGGGAGGGACTCGGAGTAGAACCGCTGCTCCTCCGGATCGAAAGGAGCCAGTTGAGGTGGTTTGGGCATCTGGTCAGGATGCCTCCTGGACGCCTCCCCGGGGAGGTGTTTCGGGCATGTCCTGCCGGCAAAAGGCCCCCGGGTCGACTCAGGACACGTTGGAGAGGTTACATCTCCAATCTGGTCCGGGAACGCCTTGGGGTCCTGCCGGAGGAGCTGGTGGACAAGGCCGGGGAGAGGACGGCCTGGAGCTCCCTAACTGGGATGCTGCCCCCGCGACCCGGACCCGGATAAGCGGAGGAAGACGAAGACGAAGACGAAGTCCCTTTGTCTTGTTATTACACGTGTCATGGGTCAGTGAACATACAAACAGGTCAAAGGTCACATCATATTGTGTGTTTCTGAGTAAACAGAAGAAGCATCTCAAACACCTATATGTTTTACTGACTGCTCACCCTCTTTGCAGGTGTTTCCATGGTAACCAGGTTTGCAAACACAAGTCCCATGTTGACGGTGACACTCCTTAGTGTTTTTCTGATCACAGCGACACTCCTGAGAGCATCCGGCTCCAAATGTCCACTTGGGACAGGCTGAAAATTAAAATTGATTAAACTAAAGTTGGAAAATTATACATGATGGAGCACAGAATACAGTCATATGCTTTTCAGAAGATTTTTGGCTCCTTGTGTGAGAATTTTAAAGTAAAAAACTTTGAAGTACAAAAGCAGAGGGACTCACGGAGGTGACAGAAGCGTCCGTAGAGTCCTGGATCACACAGACAAGCTCCATAAGTCCGATGGCAGCGGCCATTATTGGCACAGTTACACCTCTTGTTGCACAACTTTCCGTAGAAGCCCTTAGGGCAGCCTGGATTCACAAAGTACATCTGAGATGATTAGATCACATTTTAGTTTCCTGCAGCAGAAACTACAGGAAAATACAGAGTCTGTTCCAAAATGAGGAGTTTTTCTCACCATCCTGGCACAGATCTCCACTCACACCCGGAGGGCAGCGGCAGCTTCCAGTGGCCGGATCACAGCTGGCCCCATTTTTACATTTACAGGCAAACGAGCAGTTTTTACCAAAATGCCCCTCGGGACATGCTGTCAGATTAAAAGATGAATCAGGGTGAGGACGCGTAACTCAGACAGTCTGGAGTCTGATGACATGAGAGTGTGTAAGAAGTGTGTGTGCGTGTGTGATCAAAACTCACTCTGATTGCAGATTATTCCTGTCCATCCATTCGTGCAGTCACAGCCATTCCTCCACATGTTGCATGTTCCCCCATTAGTGCAGTCGTCACACGTGAGACTGCAATCGCTGCCAAAAGTGTCATCCAAACACACTAAAACAGCAAAATGACGCTTTAATTAAAAACATCCATAAACACCCAGAATCAGTCAAATTTCAATCGGTCTGGGAGAGATCCTTTCCATTTTACATCATTTTAAATCTCACTTCTCCACTCTTATTGCTGTATGTATTTCAGCATGTATGGTGTGTGTCTTCCTCAGCTGCACTGATGTTGTTTTACATCTCCAGCCACAGCACAAACCCAGCTGCCAGCTCCCATAAGTGTGGTCTGCTCATGCTCTTTCTAAAGAAGTCTGTCTGAAACTTTCACAAGAGTCACGTTTCCTGTTAATGAGAGGCTGAGAGGGGAACTCACCAAACTTCTCTGCCAGGCTGCTCTCAGCCCTCAGCTCCCTGTCGTCATCTTCGTAGTCATCAAAGCGCTCCAGGAGTTGGCTGTAATCCTGCAGCAAGGTGAGCTGAGGCCGGACCAGAGGCAACTCGATGGTTCCTCCGCTGGAAAAGGCTTCGATCGCACCTTCAAGAGCTGCAGTGAGAGAACAGATCTTAACTGGGTAACACAAAAGTGCATCATAGGTTGCAGAGTAAATCAAATGTTTTTGTTTATTTACTTACTTGTGCCCACACATTTACTATTGTTACTATTATAACAATTACACCATCACGGAATAAAATCCTGCAAGACACTAAAGGGCCCCCTGCTTAGGTCAGCACATGTTTAGGTCCCAGGTTTACCAGAGACCATGTGGCTGATCCAGAGGATGATTGGGAGAATGTCGCGTGGTCATATGAGACCAAAACAGAATTCTGTAGAAACGACATTTGCCATGTTTGGAGAGGGAAGAATGCAGAGTTGCGTCCTAAGAACACCATTACCCATTGTGAAGCATGGAGGTGGACACATCATGCTTTGGGGCAGCTTTTCTGCAAAGTGGACAGGGTGAATTATCTGAATTAACGAAAAGAAAAAAGGGCAGTGCATCATGAGATTTTGGGCAAAAGCCTCCTTCCATCAGTGAGATGGATGAAACAGAGGCTGGATCTGTTTCTGGATCTTCCAGCATGACAGTTATCCCAAACACCCCAGCCAAGCTACGAAGGAAGAGCTAAGTAAAAAGCATTAGAAAGTTCTGGAGTGACCTAGCCAGTCTACAGACATCATAGGAGGGAGTTCAATGCCCGTGTTGCCCAGCGGCAACCCCAAAACATCACAGCTCTAAAGAAGATTTGCATGGAGGGGGCCAAAATACTAAAAAACACAATTTAACCTGTGTCATTGCCAACCAAGGCTACATTACAAAGTACTGAGGTGAACTTTCGTCATTGACCAAATACTTATTTTCTGCACCATTAAACAAATACCATCTTTGAAAATCATACAACTCACAGTTCAGGTGTACCTGTATGAAAATTACAGAATGAAGGTTGGAGGTGGGGGGGATTCTAACAACTTTTTGTCATGTTTTATTTTGCTAAATAACTCATCAGTGAGTAACTTTTTGCAGCAGGAACCTGTCATCAGGCTTATGGTGTGAATCCCCTATTGTCTGATTCTGCAACAGGATTTCCGATGCTTACGAATGCAGGAGCGTCGATCATCGTCCAGTCGGAAACCCCGACGGCAGAAGCACTGGAAGGAACCAGCAGTGTTCTGACATGTGTGAGCGCAGCCCCCGTTAGCAGCCAGACATTCGTCTGTATCTAAACAACACAAACGATGCAAAGGTAAAACGTTTTTACTGAATCGGGGTAAAACTGAGAGATTTCACGTACCATCACAGCTACATCCATCTGAGCCGAGTCTGTATCCCGCTGAGCAGTAGCACTCGTAACCTCCAGGGTAGTTGGTGCAGTCCTGCTCACAACAGGAGCTCTGCTCTCCACACTCATCCACATCTGCCAGACGCAACAAACAGAAAAAGAAAAACTCTGATCCAAGGCAAAGACACGCTCCGCTGAACGCTGAAAAGAAACTTTTATGAGATGATATAAAATGTGCTGATTGAACGGCCATTTAGGTTTACAGGAATAAAACTCCAACTCTGAACTTCTTCTACGAACTTTGGCTAAAATTAGCTCACTTGTTTCGAAACTTTTGCAATAATTCCCCACCTCCTGATCAGAGGAGCACTCATTTTGAACTCTACAAAGCCAGAAAGCGCTAAAAGATGTTTATGAGCATGTTGAAACTTTTTTATGGACTTCAGGAACTTTATTATTGCTTGTTTTACTGCCGAGTTAAGAAAGACTCCAGAAATAATCAAAGTAATTGTGATAACTCCCTTTGAGTCCTTTGATATGTCTTGCCATTTATTTGCCCAGCTGGTATTTTCTCAAGTCCAGTAATTTAGGAGGAAAACAATCAAACTCCAATCTTAAATAAAATATTACAATGTTGAGGTTTATTTGAAACTGATTAATAAAAGAAATAATTTTACTTCATGAGCATTGTGGAAAATGTGCACAAGAAAAAGACAACCATCATTAAAGTGGAACTTAATATTCTTTTAAAAGTTAACATTATTATAGTTTAATGGTCTTTATTAATTTGTTTAATGATCTTTTATTGTTTGTGATAGTTTTTCTGCTATATAAATAAACTTTATTCAATTACATCTCATTAGAGTATTGAGAATGGCAGGAAATTATGAAGGCTGATTAATAAAAAATGAAAAAATGTATTTGCATCAAATACTAACATTTTCTGCTTTCTGGGACACATCTAAGTTGCCAGATCTTCTGATTTGTTACCAATTTACTGTCAGAATGTCAGCAAACTTGTATAATTATTTTGTTATCACAAGCAAACAAAAGGTCTTTATCTAATGGAAACCAGTACACCGAGCACAGATGGTGTTTAAATGTCCGGAGGCTGAATGAGACAACCTGATCTTTTCATCAGTCATTAGGAGCTATGTAAACACTGCAGACTGAAGCAGAAACACAGGACTTGGTGAATATGTTAATGTTCTTGTCTGTTGTAATTTGAATAATAAACCAAAGTGTTCTCTGATCAACTTCCAGATGAACTGGGTGACTCAGCTGATGGGAAACAAACTTGCAAGAACAAAATGAAGACTGAAACTTGACTAATATATTATTTTTTTACAGCTTTCAATCAAATTTTCTGATACAAATGGGACTTTATCTGAGTCCTCTGGTGTTATGCTACACCAGCTGAGTGGCCTAGTGGTAGACTGTCCACCTGGGACTGGGAGATCAGAGTTCAAATCCCGGTCGGGTCATACCAAAGACTTTATAAAAATGCCTCCCTGCTTGACAGTCAGCTTTAAGGGGCTGGATTGGAGGGTTAAACCACCAAATAGTTCCCGAGTGCAGCCACAGCTGCAGCTCATTGCTCCCCGCGGGGATGGGTCGAAGGCAGAGGACAATTTTCACCACACCAGTGCGTGTGACAACTATGGGACTTTAGTCTTTAGAATCAAATGTTTGCACTGATCGCAAAGGTAAAAGTTGTATAAATAACTAAAATGTTGAGTCCACCGTTATGCCAGCATATAAAACAACCTAAAATCTCGTTTCATGATATTTTATTTATTAGAGTTAAGATAATTAGTATTCAATAGAACTGTTTCTCATTAGGATTGGGTCTGACATGACTTGATTCCTGAATAACTCAACTTAACTTTTCTAAATAGACTGGTGATCATGGTTGGGCTGGTGAATTGGTGTGTGGGAGCATTACCAGTGCAGGTTTTGAGGTCTTCGCCCAGCTGGAAGCCCTGGTTGCAGCTGCAGACTGGTCCGCTGGTCGAGTGGTGGCAATGGTGAGAGCATCCGCCATGGTTGCTCTCACAGCTGTTCACAATCTCCATCTCTATTCCTTAAGTTCACAGTGAAATGTGACCTATTAGCTAAGCAGGAGGGTTTTTACATGCAATAAAATCCAGGAGGGGATTTAAACTGACTGTAACACTGTTTTCCATCAGATCCCAGCTCATAGGCAGCGTTGCAAACGCAAGCGTAAGAACCCAGGGTGTTGTGGCAGCCGTGAGCACAGCTGGCTTTCTTGCACTCGTCGATGTCTGATGGAAGATTAAATAAAAAAATAATATTAACTGAAATGCGTCTGGTCTGCATAGGTTCAATGACATGTGAATGTGATGGTCACAAATCAAATGCTTTTCTTAAACCTGATCTCACTTTGACCGCATGACTACACATCTTATCTTATTAAATAAATATTTTTATCTTTTGCAAAAGGGAATTTCAGATCAATTCAGCAGCTGTTTTAAAGCTTTGATCCAGATGATTAAATGTTCATATTTCATTGAGATGGAATCAGGATTTTTCTGCAAACATTTTACTTTTCCGCTCAGGTCTCCAAGCTGGTTATTTACCACTAATAACGGCATAAAGTGTGGGTACTGGTTGATGTACCTTCACAGGTTTTTCCATCTTCAGCCAGCTCGAAGCCAGCTTTACAGTCACACTCCACCTTTCCTCCCACAACTCGACACCGATGCATGCAGCCTCCATTGTGATCCACACAAGGATTCTGCACTGCAACACAGAAAGAACGCGCTCACCCACTTAAATCCACACGCACACAACGCCTCAGGCCTGGCAAAAGCCAGTAAAACCTGACTGTTCTACTCCTTAATGCACAGCATGTGGAGAGCTTTAAATCTCCACCACCACCTTGTCTTTATCACTCTTTTCTGCACACTTTTGCATGTGTTTAAGCCTTTTTCTGGCTTCAGCTCTGCAAGGAATTAGAGGAAGCTGATCCCAGCCAACAATTACAAAGTAAAAGCATTTCAAAAGATGGTCATTTAAATAACTATACATATAATTTCAGAGATTTGAGATTAAAAAGATGCAAGGACATAAAAACACTAAGTAAGAAAACAAACGAGGATCACCGTGACTCATTCCAGAATGACATTTTCTCCCACGAGTGACATTTAAGCTCAGACATCCAGAGATAATTACAGGATGTGTTTTTAATGTGATCAGATCTTCAGTCACACCTTTTTAATCTTCCAAAGTATAATTATATTGGCACCCTTTCCTCTGTGAGATCTTCTGTTACTAATTCTCTTGTCTTGTGTTTTCTGATGTTTGAGTTTGGAAACAGGGAAACTCACATTGACAGTGCTTGCCATCCTCTGCCAGCATGTAATTTGGCTTGCACCGGCAGCGAAAATGAGAAGCAGACTGCTGCACACAAACGTGCTCACATCCCCCGTTGTTGATGGCACACTTAAGGACAGCTGAAAATACAAAAAGCAAAACTTGTGATGGAATGCCAGAGCTCTGATGCAGGGTCAGACATGAAAAATACAAAAACTGGAAAATAAAAGAAAATCTTCTGAGGGAAGCTGTTTTTAGTGTGTTTTTAATGTTTTAATGCTCCCACAGACACTAAAACAATCCCTCAGGCTGTTGACATGCTGCGAAACGTTGGTAATCTATTGACGTTCACAAGATTTTGAATGACAGGATGCTTATATTGGTACGCTGATGGGATGGAGTGAGGTCTGAGCTCAGAGGTCCTCTTGGCTCCAGTTTCTCCTCTTTGAAGCAACAGATGGATCTGGATCTTTTCAGAAAAATAACATGTAGAAGCCAAATGTAGCTCATGCTCAGGAGCTGGGGCTAAGATCCATCCACCTCTAGTGCACCACAGAGCTGAGTTCCAGCGGCTACATGCTAAGCGTGTGGGATACACCTGACCTCCACGGGGAAGATCAGAGCGGAGACTGAAGCGACCTGAGAACGTCTGTGTCCATTCTGTCTGCCCCATCATGCTCTTTATGTGATAAAGCTGATTGTTACAAAGTGGAGGGGAAATTAAAACTGCAAATACTTATTCGTTTTCCACATGTGAGCAAAGCCGGTCCCACACGAGCCTCACCTGAAGTCAGAACACTTTTATCATTAATGCAATCTGTTATTTCTTTGTCCAACAGCTGTCAGGATGAAGCCTCTGAGGGACAGTTGGTCCCTGAAAACCCTACACTGCAAGAAAAACAACACTGGTTCATGCAACATAAACCAACACAATACATTAAACTGATGGTAGAAGCTCCTCCTCCTATTGGCTACTTCTGAAGATTCCCAAACTGAGTTTTCATCTGGGACAAGAACACTGGGAAAAGCTTCAAGCACTGATTTACACAAAGATGGAATCAGAGCCAACACACTGACCGAATATGAAGGGTTTTATTTTACGATCACCAAGGGCGTCAGTTTGTTTTCAGAATTGCTGGGGACAATAGCCATACACTTGAGTGGGGCTTAAAAATTGCTGGGGACAATAAAGTAGGCTAGCACAGGGGTCGGCAACCCGCGGCTCTGGAGCCGCATGCGGCTCTCGGTGCTTGTAAAATAATGAATGGATATTTAAATAAAATGCTTTATATTTTACTGCATTAATTTTACATCTGTATGCCAATTCTAAATGTAAAGATTGTCTGCGTAAACCTGAACAGGTCCAACCCGGTCTGTGAGACCGGGTTGACGCGTCACACTTGTGCGTAATCATGCGCTTCTGAGCTGCTTTCCGACCTTCCCCACCTACAAAGTTTAATTACAACAATCAAACGTGACAGAGCCTGGATTTGTATTCTGAACAGTCTAAACATGTTTTAAAAAGAAACGTATGACAAAAGTGGCACCTGCTCAGTAAAACCACCAATAGGGTGAATATTGAAGGCAGAGACGGGCTACAGCTTCTGGATCCACTTTATATAAATCGTTTTATTGATTATCTTTTTATGAAAGATAACTTTGACGTACACGAGTGACCAGGCGCGTTGCAAGCTTTTCAAAAGTGTGGGGGATGTTGTCTGTGCCTAAAATAATTTCATGTTATTCATCCTGTTAGTTTAATTTCCATAATAGCGGAGCAGGTACGAATTTTAGACGCGTCACGCACGTCTCCGTTTTAAACATGTTTAAACTGTTCAGAATACAAATCCAGGCTCTGTCTCGTTAGATTGGTGTAACTAAAGTTTGTACTGAATGAAACTTTACATTAAACCATGTTGAAAAGAAAAGGATCCCATTAAATCGTTTCCCCCTCATTTGCAGTCACGGACTACAGCGCAGTGCGCGTGGCTCTGGGGTTAATCAAGTTTAATTGTTTCTCGTTGCAACAATCTTCACAAGAAGGCAAAACAGTTAAATGACAGGTTACAGATATTTCCATTTGACTGTTTATTTTGACGGATAAACTCAAGGATGTTGGTTGATTTCCTCCCACTGAAGCGGTCTGGAAACTCGGTCTCTCTGAGGGATGTGTCACTTGGAAAAATGTTATTTTTATGAAATTATGAAAGTTTGGCTGAATAGCGCTTGTTCCTGTCTCCAATATGGAGACACATGATGCATCCAGTCGCCTCTTCAGCTCAGAAAGCACCTGTAGAGACATTTGATCACGCACAAAGTTTATGTGGAGCAGAAGCGGTCGGGCTACGGCAGGTGAAATGTTCCTAGCCTACATGAAGTGAAACTGTTTAATTGTAACATTAATATGTTACTGGACACACTGGTCTGGTTGGTTAGACCAGTGTTGGAAGTGGAAAACACACACACACACCAATTAACATAATGCTGATAGCGTGGACTAGAAGACAGGTGATGGTTTACGTATTTAGATGATGATCAGGCTGCTGTAAAATGTAATCTCCATCCACATCCAGACACAATTATCCTCTATTCTTTCTCTATTTGCTCTGCTCTTGTCTGGGCTGACAGCTGACGGTGCGCGCAGTGCGCCTAGTGGCTGTGATGCACATTTTACGCATTTGGAGAGGTGGGCTGGATGCTTTTCTTTTACTGGAAGATGGTCCACTTAACGCACGGGTGTAGACTACATATTAATGACAAATGAATGAAAATTAAATTGTGAGTTTTTACTTCATATTTTAGAAATAAAAATGACGGGGGAAAACATTTATGACGTCTTTTTAAACGAAATTTTCTAGCGCGACCTGCCTGCTTCATTTAAGTCACTGCTTATTAAGGTCCGTCCAAAATTACCGTGGCCCACCCAAAAATGAAAACCTGGCGCTGCGCCAGTTATAAACCTCTGCAAATTATTGTTCTTCACTTGATCAAACTCAGACTTTGTACAGCTAATGTCAAGATGTAAAATTATGAATTCAGTCGAGCTCTAAGTCCCTCCCTCTCCTGCTCTCCTGGAAACCCGACATCAGCTGTCAGAAGCGGAGGTGAAGAAGGAGATGAGGCAAACAGAGTGAGTGCGACCTAAAGAAACCAGACTGGTGTGGAGGTGAGCAAAACAGAAGGAACATTGTGGGTGTTGAACCCCCCACGGGTGCGACGCCCATGCGAGCGACCGGTACCGGCTGCTGTCACCTGGTTGTGAGCAGCTCTCTGCTGTCTGAGGGTAGGCCCCGCCCACAACGCCGCGGCTACTGCGGTGTTTTCTTTACTGTGGGAAATGGGTAATAATGGCTCTTTGATGGGAACAGGTTGCCGACCCCTGGTATAAGATCTGAGCTGGTAAAACAAAAATCCTCATCAGCAGGCTTTTTTGAAAGTGGGGGGGACACAGCTGCCAATCACAAATTTTGCCGGGGACATGTCCCCGGCGTCCCCGGTTAAAATGACACCTATGACGATCACATATGATTTAACTGTGATTTTGGCCTTTCAGGACAAATTCTGAAGAATGTTCTTGTACAAAACTTCTGAGTGGTCATGAAAAACTTAAAAATACTAACAAAAAGTCAGACTGGGGTAAATAAGTGTGGTTTTAGGCTAAATGGCACATCAAAAACATAAACATGAACATTTATGAGGAAAGAATGAACATTAAACAATTAATTTAATGATTTGTTAATTATTTGTTTTAAAGTTTAAGAACAAATTCATTTGATGAAACTTTAAAGGAGTGGTTTAGTCATTTAATCAAGACATTTACAGGATTGAATGCCTTGTAAGTCGTACTCGGGGGGTAAAAACCACCGGTGCACTATTTCCAGGAACTAGAAATGAGCCACATCACAGCTGAGCTTTAGATGGCAGCATTTCAAGTCCTATTTCTTCATATTTGGACTTCTCGCTTTTGACTGGACAACAGCAATATTACTGTACCATTGACTTGCAATGTTGATGTTTTATCAAGGTCAATGTCACATTTATTTCTAAAGCACACTTATTATTGCTTCCGCAACCCAAAGTGCTGTACAACACAGAAGATAAAATCACAATAAAGTATAACTAAAAACCACAAAAATCAGCAAGTTGGGATAAAAACAACATTACACCATACAATTATAAAATCAATAAAAATGAGAAAGAATGACAATGATAAAATAAAATCATCCTACATAAAAGCCAGGTTGAATAAATGAGTTTTAAGCAAGGACTTGAAGACTTTGTGAGGTCCTGATCTGCAGAGGAAGACTGTTCCAGAGTGTAGGACCGGCCACAGAAAAAGCCCCATCTCCTCTCGTCTTTAGGCGAGCCTTTGGAACTGACAGAGTGAGTAAAAACTGTGAGCCCGACCGCAAATTCCTGGCAGGAGTGTAGGGTGACAATAAATTATCTATATAAGGAGGGGCCAGACCATAAAGTGATTTATAAACAAAAAACAACAATTTAAACTGACTCCTGTAATGCACTGGCAGTCAGTGAAGGGAAGCTAGCACTGGAGGTGATCATGCTTCCTTGTACCTGTTAAAAGGCGGGCTGCTGCATTTTGCACCAGTTGCAAGCGGTTTAAGGACGAATGCCCTAATCTATAGTACAGGGAATTGCAGTAAACTAATCAACAGGAGACAAAGAGATGAATAACATCTTCATAGACGGTTTCTGGCAAATAGCACTTAACCGTAAGTCAACCACACTTTTAATATTTTCTACAGAATTGTCATTATTAGTAACAAGTCTAAAAACACAAAAATAAACTCATGTATGTTTACTGAGCATGTGTCAAATTTAAACAGGAAGTTAAAAGTGTGGATGCCCTGAAGACTGGAAAATGTCTGAATGGGCTCATAATAAATCAGTGTTTTCACAGGAAGATGGGTTTAGTATGACTAAAGTTTTTATTAAAGATGAGAGAGAACAAACAGGGACAAATGGTGGAACACAAATGATAAAAAAACATTAGTTCATAATCAATTAGCTAAATGTCCTACTTTTCTTTGCTTTGGGTGTTTATAGCCTAAATTTTTATCTGGACAAAAAAATTCCCATTTATTAAAAAAAATGTCTTGACAGATGTTTTCAATTATCATGCAATTATTAGCCAAATAAAATAAGCACTAAAGTAATTAATAGCTGCATCAGTGCCAAAAGTTCTGTTTGAGTTGTCTCACCAAAAAAATAAAAATACTAACTGTAAAAGAATGTTTGAAGTGGCAGCAGATCACCTTTCCCTATAATAAATTTTAAACAACAAAACGAAAATGGTTCACCATCAAAATTGGTCACAACCATTATTCTTGAGCACATTTCAGACAAAAAGAAAAGTAAGGCCAGGATCAGAGGCCTTCCTGAACAGAGTCTCTTTGTTTATGTGAGTATTGAGAAGTGAGGCTACATTTCAAAGAGTCACTGAAAGCTTCCTATTGAGCTCTAATTGGATTAAATGAGGGACGAGACCACAAATGATATAGTTACCGTGTAGAGGTCAGAGTAACTTGATCTGATGTGATGTTTTTCTTCCGTTCACTGCTTTGGGTTTGTTCCACTAGTAATTTCACTGATATTTATCTGATTACAGCAGATGTTTACCAGACTAATCAACTTTTACTCACAGAGGCAGGTGCGTCCGTCCACGTGGAGGCGAGAGCCGGGGAGGCATTCACAGTAGTAGGAGCCCCTGGTGTTAACACATCTGTGCTGGCAGCCGCCATTATGGACCTGGCATTCATCAATATCTTTGGAGAAAATAGCAGGAACAGAGATGTGAGCTGTTATAATAACTCCTGTGATTATGAAACAAATAGCCGAACAGTTCTTTTAATAACTCAGAATGACGATGTACCCCTGGCAGACAGTGGATGATGGATGAGAAGGTGGGAGAAACAAAAACGCTACAGCTTGAATAAACCCCCATGTGGCAACAACTAATGGACCAATTAGAAAAAAAAACAATTGTTTGTTGTTTGAAATCAAATTTAAACTCCTGCTGCGCCCGTCGAAGCCCCTCCCCAAGGGAGCAAACATGTGGGAACTTGAACTGGAGGATGCAAAACACACACACACACACATTCCACTCAGCCAAGTGTGTTGAGTGTAAACAAAGAAAAAGGAGCCTCTTCATCTGGGGGAGTCACGGCGAGCGAAGCCTGACGCCCTTGCTGTGTGACCTGATTTCTAATCAAACAAACAGGCAGTAGCAATTCCAGGGGTCAAAGACTAAAATATTTTCCCCAGCAGACCTCCTGTGAGATCTGAGCTGATTTATGAAGTCTGTACCCGTTTTGCTTTAGTGCAGCAAAAACGTATCCTGGAAGTCTAGAAAAACCATAGTGGTAACAAGTTGGTCCATTGTAGCCTCAGCAGGTTTACCACTGGCTCTACTAAGTGTAGGCTGTACCAATCACAGTGTTTTAGACTTGTAGAAAGAAGTTGGGCAGGCTAAACATCATTAAGCTTTGTTTTTTTTAATGTTGGCAGAGCTGCAACAAAGCTAAATAACTAAAATGGAACAACGCTCATTTGAAGCTGCTTTGGCATCAACTTTGAACTATTCAGACTTGGGCTTTTCTTTCAGATTTGAGCAAACAGAGGTACTTTCTTAACTTTTTCGATCAGAATCAATTTTATTATCATTGCCTCTGTTGGGTAATTTTATTATTCAATCCAGGATTACCTCAAAGAAAAATCCAACACAAAGGGGGTTAGAGTTATCTGGTTATAGATTATCAATGCCAATCACCAATAACTCTAACCCTCGTGTGTGTGTTGGATTTTTCTTTGAGGTAATCCTGAATTGAATAATAAAATTGCCAACATTTTGGTGCCGTGACACCCGCCGTGCGAGCCAGATGCTGGGAGATAGACTCCGGGGGGCCGACAAGGCGCCGCACCCGGGGGGCTTGGATTGTTCCACCGGCCGGCTGAATAGCTCTGCAGATGACCTTCCGCCTACGGCTCCGCGCGTCGGACTTTGGGTTGAGTCCACCGCGCAGGGGGGAGCGAGTGAGTACCTCTTTTTTGCAGCCTGGCATATAAAAAGCTGGTTGACTTGACAGTGTGTTTTACGTTTGTGTCTGCCTTGTGAACACGGGAGACGTTCCGTGTTTTAGCGAGAGGGCTCGGACCTGTTCCGATTGAAATAGCGATGAAATAGACGGAACGGGGGGCCGCTAAGTCGTGTCCTAGGTCCAGCTGTTTGATAACGGGCCTGTTTCGATTGAAATAGTGTTTGAAATAGATGGAACAGGCGGTCAAAACGCTACTGGAAAGATTTTAATGAGGTCTGTGTCACGGAGGACACAGTCCGCCCCGCTGTGAGCACTGCGGGTAGTAATACGACCGGAACTGCAGACTGATGGCACTTGTGGTATAAAAGAATAAATGGTATAATAGCGCCGCGTTAAAGCTGACGCTATATAGACGCAGGCTATATAGCGCAGGCTGACGGCCGTGTGCTGGCATTTTCGAGTGTAAAGAGTCTCTTGTAATCACACTGTCGCTTGGATTGTTTAACATTTCCTATTGCTGCAGAGGTACAAAGATTTGAACACCGCTGCTTTTGGCTTACAAACTCAAGTCGCTCTAAAAATCACTCATATTGCTTCATGATTTGTGTGCTTTCAATGGTTTTGGGGTTGTGACAGCTGGTTCTGTCCGCCGCTTTGTGATTATTGTTTTCTGTGTGACTTTGTGGGTTTAATCTGTGACGGAACTCTGTGTTGGAGAGTTTCAGCTGCCCTTTGCTCCCTCTGAGTGTGTGAAAACTAGCCAGTTCTGACCTGGTACGTGTGGGAGAAAGAGAAGTGTATGTGTGTCTGAGGCTTTTGAGCCTGTCTGGTACGGGTGTGTGTGTGTGTGTGTGTGGGTGTGGGTGTGTGGGTGTGTGTGTCTGGGACTTTGAGAGTGTTGCGTGTGACAGGTTCGGCTGCCGTTTCGCTGTGTGTGCGTGTGCGTGTGTGCGTGTGTGTGTGTGTGTGTGTGTGTGTGTGTGAGAGAGAGAGAGAGAGAGAGAAAGAAAGAGGGAAGCGTTAACTTGTTTTGGTGGCTGCCAAATGTTATCTGAATGAATCGTTTTAATATACGCCCTCATAAGCAGTCTGATTGCATTTCTGATCATTTTCATACTAGAACTCACCGGAGCTCTTCCAGCGTGTTTTACTAAACCAGTACACAAAACATCTTAAATACGATGGGGAATACTAAATCTAAAGACAGCCTGGAGAGAGACATAGAGCAGCTGGCATCAGACTGAACCAGGGTAAAGACCTGGAGATCGCCAAGCTGAAGAGAGACCGAACAGACAACTGACTGGTGTGTACCTTCTTTCTCTCCGATTTTGCAAAGTCTGATGGTTGATTATTGGTAATCTATAACCAGTGTTGGGAGTAACACCGTTTAAGTATAACGGCGTTACTAACGGCGTTCTTTTATAGGTAACGGAATAATCTAATTAATTACTTTTCCCGCCGTTGCAACGCCGTTACCGTTACTGGGGACGGAAGGTTGTGCGTTACTATGTGCTTGTCGAACGTTGAGCAGCAGCGTGAGGCTTTCTGACCGCCACACTTCAGCTGCAGCCAGGGAGAGAGAGGTGTCGGTAACTCACTTACAAACACGATGATGATTGGCCGGGTGGGCGGAGACCCTCAGTGTATCAGTCTCTGCATTCTGTAGACACAACGGGAATAACTCCGTTTAAAATAACCGCGTTAATAAAAAATATTTCTTTCTGTAACGAGCAAACTAATTAATTACGTCTTCTTTTAACAAAACGTCGTTTCTGTTACTGATAAGAAAATGCGTGCGTTAAGCAGCGCGGTGTGTTGAAGCTGTCATCATCAGCTGATCAGGAGCTAAAGAGGTAGATGTCTTCATCCAAGTGCGTCACGGCCCGTGAAGAACGAGGAAGACGTGATGAATAGTCTACGGCTGCAGACCCCCCACAGACTTGTTGCTGCAGCAGCGAATCTGCGGGTCTGCAGCTGTGCCCTTAGAGTGACAGCGGGACGTCCCGAAGGTCCGCTCACCTGTTCACCGCTCAGACGTCCTGATCTTCTACCTTCCTAGATCATCCGGCTGTAACCTGTTCCTGATCATGTCTTTAGTCCCGCTGTAACACCGATGCATCTGTCTCAGACGGCATGGAGCTCAGGTGTTATTAGAACTACCTGTGTGTGTTCACCACCCAGCTTCAGCTCTTCTGTGGTTGGGTCTGACCCATGTTAGTACATTTAAGTCCTAGGCTTGTGCCTCTTCTAGTGTCATTTTAAAGGATTTTATTTATTTATTTAACCATTACTAGATTACCAGCAACAGAAATGCTAGTAAAAACACACAATTATGTGAAGCTGGAAAAATTACAATACTGTGCAAAATTACATTTATTTCTGTAATTTAGCTAGACTGAGATTTAAAGGCTCGGGAACCTTTACAGGTGTTTCTATTTGCAATTTTAAATTTTAGCTGATTGGGGTTTTGTTAAATATCACACAGTGACCTTTTAATAGTCTAGATTAGTGTAATGTTCCTATTAGTAGTTCCTCCTGTTAAGTGCGTATTTGTTTAAATTATTCAGGTTTATATAAAACATTTGGACATACATTTTATTATGTTCAGTCATTAGTCATTTATATTTTACTATTGTAGTAATTCTTGCATTCTTTAATGAAAAAAGTAACTAAGTAGTTACTTTTGTTGGTAATTAGTTACTTTTATGATCTTGTAACTCAGTTAGTAACTGAGTTACTTTTTTGACAAAGTAATCAGTAACTATAACTAATTACTTTTTTAAAGTAACGTTCCCAACACTGTCTATAACCTGATAACTCTAACCCCCTTGTGTGTGTTGGATTTTTCTTTGAGGTAATCCTGGATTGAATAATAAAATTACCCAACAGCCTCAGTGTCCTGAAGCATAGAAAATTGTCCCAGCAGCACAGCCTGATGGTATGGACCGTACCATTGACTGACTTCTGAATCACGAGTATGTCATGTTGTTCATTGCTCTGAAGCCAATGTTATATTTCTCTGTCAGCTCAGCAACATACACATCATGCCATCATGTGATGACACAAATGTTCTGCAACAGGCCCAATTTTTTTAACTGTCCGTCGAAAGCCATGGTGAGCTCAAGTCAGTATTTGATCAGGATGCACCTTCCTTTAAAGGTGTGGTTGATGTAAAAACCATGTTTTAATTATTTATGATTATAATCAGTCACTGATGTTTTCATGTAGGCTGTCTCCTACACCTATCTCCTGCATTAGCTTCTGATAGAAAATAGACCGTGAATGCTAGGATTTGAACATTCTCACACTGTGATGTCACACTGAATTTGCATGCATGGCCTTCCTCATCTTGGCTCACGCCAGCCCACAGAAACACTTTTTTGTGCAGCGAGGAGAGAGAGTGGAGAGTGCCTTGGTGATAGCAGCTTTGCAACATGGCTGAACGCATTCTGTTAGCCTATCAGAAGCGAGGTGTGTGCATATAATAATGAGTAATCCTGCCGTTTTCAGCCCACCTCTGTACCAGCAAACTTCTGCTCATGACTAGATGAGTATGCAGCGTTATTACAAAGCTAAATGTATAGAAGTTAATAATTAAAATGTATATCAACAAATATTTAGGCATAACAGATGAAAACAGGAATTCTGGATCGGACTGGACACATGCATTCATTGTGTTTTTTCCAATATGCATTATATACAACACAATTGCATTTAATATGGTGCATTATTTTTGTTCCATATTAGTGACACAGTGTCTTAGTTATGTTTAATATTATTGTATTATCTGCCTGCCCATCCTTCACAAAAATGCACCACATGCACTTTTTAAGTCACAGCCGCTAAATTAGAACGAGTTCCGGGAAGGTACCTATTGGCCACAGTTTTATTTAACAGTCCTGCAACACGAAAAAGCAAGGCGCTGTAACTCATGCAAAGAAATCAGCAAAAGTTTAGGCATTTTAAAAATTCATTTAGTCTGTTTGCAGTTTGTTGCTAAACAGTCTCAGCCTAGAGACTGTAGCAACATGAATGGCCTCATTTGTGACCCAAAGGTCACACTTCCTCAGCTGGGTCAAGCTGTACTGGCTGTACTTCTATTTACAGATTATCCATCACAGGCGACACAAAGTCTGCTGTAAACCATCTTTAATCTGACTGCCTTTTTCTGACTGCTGTTCCATCCACAAGACGAAGGACACTTCAAGATTTAAAAGAATAATTTTTAATAAACTCTTTTCACTGTCTATTACAATATTCGTAAATAATCATCAAGGTTCATTATAAATGTATTTAATTACTGAAATTAATTATTATTCTTTGGTTAATAATAATTATTATTTATGATAATCAGTAATGTTTAACAGTAACAGAAGGTCCTGTGCACTTATACACACCATGCAGGACACATCAATCAGGGTAAAGGTAACTGCATTCACATGTCCTTGTTCCATAACACTAAAGCTTTCTATCTCTGAGAGAGCGTGTTCAGAGGTATGTTAAAACCAAAACTCCTCAGTTCAAGTTCAGTTGTTGAGCTCACCAAAATCTCTTTGTGGCACGAGAGAGTCCAGGGGATCGGGTCGACCACTTGAAATCTCTACTAAGGTTTTCTGTCACGCTGATAGAATTGCTTCAACAAAACGCCATCTGCAACAAGCTGACGCAAAACTCCTTCAGAGTTATTGATTTTTGAGACGCAACCAGTTTCATCAGTCGTTGTGACCCGGAGACATCTCAGGACTGATTTGGTCACACTACGGTTCTTCTACCCACCTCGTGCTTGGGGGTTCATCATCCCACCTGACACATCTCGGATCCAAAAGGGGGTCTCCTTACTGGGTGAGGTAGACACTTCCGACAGATTGCGTCTGGAATGCCTGTTTCTTTTAAGAAATAATTTAGTTAGCTGCAAACCAAACTCTTTCACCCAGAATGCGTTTTTCTCTCTCTGAGATAGAAACCTTCTGAGACTTACATTCACACATCCAACGCACACACACATCCTTTTTAGTTTCCATCTAGACACAGGTTGCTTTAATACCAAGTTTTAATATCAAAGCTTTTATAAATTGTCATTTATGAATTGTCTTTTAAATTGTCATCTTTAAATTGTTAGTAATAAATTCTTAACTTTTTTAACCTGACTCTTCTTTGAAATAAAACAGTGGTGTATATTTGGTCACTGAATGAGCAAAAATCTTTTTAAATCTTCTGCATTAAATAAACTTTTGCTATTAATTTAAATCTCTTAAATTAAATATTACTCTTTTGATTCATTGATGGTGTAGACCAAGCCAGTTGGTGTATGAACTTCTATCGATTATATAAATATCTGTGGAGATATATATGTATATAATATAAGTTCATTACCAAATCGTTTGATCTTTCTCAGAATTTAGCAGAGTTGAATAGCAAACAGAGTTAAATTCTAGTTATGTAGATTAACTACGCTACAAGAGGCAAGCTGTAAAATCAGCAGCTATTCAAGTTTAGCCAGTCGGAACAACTTTTTTCTGGTTAAGACGATTTGTTAATAATATCTCGGTTATTTATTTATTTATTTTTTTACTGGTTTATAGTTTTCTCTCACTTAATTTGCCTTGTTAGCAGACAGGTTCAATCAAAACTATTTGTGTGTGTGGGAAAACAAATGAGCCGCCTGAACACAATCTGAGAGGCTAGAAGGTAGCCTCCATTCAAACATGTTTAAGGGGACGCTTTTTGAAATTATGAAAAATACCCCAAACCCATTTTTGACTGTATTCATGCATTTTCATTTTTCAAAGGCAAATTTAGAATTTAATTTAGAAATTGCTGAAACGGCCTAATGTATAATTTGTACATCACTCCATCTTCCTGCTCCCTACATCAGGTCCTGCTCCTCCCCTGAAAGCTAGTCTCTGGTCTGAAACCTGTCTCCCCAGGCCAGCTTAGGATATGTGGAATAGGCGACAAGTGTTATGTAACATACTTGGTAGTCTAGTGGTTAGAGTGCCCAGGAAGACGCCTTTACCACAGGACTACCATTGCCAATACAACAACAACTTGCCTTTTAACGGAGCAGAGTTTCACTGAAACAAAATGTTTTCTTCTGGGTATAACGGTAAGCAGATGAAAATAACTCATTTAGGATGTCCTCTCAATCGTGTCGGTTATATTATATTATGTACTGTGCCTTTGCTCTCAGAGGTTTAAAATAGCATGATCTGGAACATTTAACTGACAAAAATATTGATTATGGCAGCAAAATTTCTACTTTCATAGTCTATGTAGAGGCAAACGTGGACAGAAGAGACTTTTTATCCGCTGTTTGGACCTTCTGCACCTGAACCGGAGCTCTGACATTAATCCTCCACTCTTCGGGGAAATTTTTGTGCACATGACCTGAAAGTGTCACATAAATCCAGTCTTTAGTGGGTCCAAACCTTGTCACTATGATACTATAGTTAGCAGAGTTGAAACAATTTTTTTTACGGTAGAAAAGCAGTCACACTAGGGTCAGCACTGAGATGAGGACAAAGGCACAGGACCTGATCCCAACGGGAAGTCCTGTGAAACCTCTGGCTGAAACCTCCCCAATAAAACTCAACATGCATCTTCAAATATAGTGTTTGGAGCAGAAACAAGCTTATAAACTTTCCTCCATTTGGTTTCTTTGCTGCCAAACTTCAGCTTCACTTCATCCAGGAAAAGCTGGCAGGAACAATCCATTCATTTTTCCTTCAATGGAGCATGCCGGCTTTTGGTTTGGTTTTCCATTTAATGAGAACAACGCCGTGGAGCGGCTGTTGCCGTGTCAACTGCAGCTCAGAGTCAGTGAATCCCCTCCAGCCTCGTTTCCACATCCAGGACTTGAGCCTTAGCCAAAACCTCAGTAGCCTCAGTCACATTGATGCTTCGCCCTGCAGTGGTCGTCTCCATGGGAAAATTTTTTCAAACCAGTTAATTTTCTAGTGTTTATAGAGTACAGTAGTTCAGTTATTTCAGAATAAGTCTTGATTTATCTCCAAAAGACAAAATCAGACCAGAGGGAGGTGCAGACATGTGGTAGTAATAATGCTTAATAATTTGTCTCAGTAGTTTAAATCTTCTCTCATAAATTGTGTTATTATAAGCATCAATGTCTGTTTAATGTTTCTACTCATTCACTTTGTGCTAAAAAATAAGTAAACATGTGTGTTAAAGGGATAATAAGCAGTTTTAGCTTGTTTTAGCACCCCTAGTGTCCGTTTAGTAAAACCAAACGTGAAACCCATCTACTTGCTGTGCGTTCGTCTTTTTAACACCTAAATATAACAGCTGAAATGTCTCCTCAGCCTTCCTTAGTGTCTACAGCAGCAACTCATCACTAAATTAATAAAATCAGCTGTGTTCGTTATCTAAAACATGCAGAAAACATGCTGGAAGCAGACTGCAGCATCATGCGTGTCAGCTACGTTTACGAAGTCCAACAGGGACCGGACCGGCAACTATGAAGTTGCAAGTGTGGTTGTCTGGCCGCAGAGGGCAGTGGGGGTCTGAGTCACATTTCATTAACCCTGTAAAGGGTCATTTTAGCACGTAGTGGCTCAAGGAAATATTTTAAAATATGAAAAAAATGTTTATAGTATGTCTTTAAAGTGACTTCATGCTGACAATAAAACTGTAATAAAACAATACAAACAAATTTTTATCTAAGAAGTAACCACTTACCTGGTGCCACATACCCGAGGTTGTATCCATGGTAACAGTAGGGCCTGTAGCAGAGCCTTCTATAGTGAATGTATGGGTAGTTTGCAGCTAGACATGCTGTCATTTTAAAAACTCCCAGAAGGAAAATCCACCATCCTGAAACCAAAGTCATGCCTGCAGCACAGCTTCTAACAAAACATGGATCCTAACACCGATAATCTATTCTAACTTTTTTCCAGTGAAAATTTGCAAGCTGGAATGTTTTCTTCCCAGACACCCTCACTCACTCCATCTCCTCTTCTGTTTCACCCTCCCATCTACCAAAACTAAATGTCCTCAGGTCTCTCTCTCTCTCCTCCTCTCCCAACATTATGTTTTATATAAACCACAAATAATCATTTTCCACTCCAACTGCCAGAATTGATTGATTACTTTTTATTTTTACTGATTTATGACATTTCATTACAGAGCCACTGCATTTTACCGTTTCTTCAAAGAATATTATGTGATTCAGAGCGGGGATTTATGAGGGCACATACCTACAGAAAAGATGAAAGAATGTGCTGTGTATGGTTTTCTTTTGATATCAACATGGATTAAAAACCTGACACTAAAAAGAAATGCCAAATTTGATGAGTGCCAGAAGTCAAATTCAGTATTTTTAATCCAAACATCTGAGGAACGAAGGGTCCTTAAAGGGGAGTCGTCTATTTGGGAGCTTAACCCCGTGTTCCACAGCTCAGGCCAGCTGGTGCAAACGGAGCAGCACTTTATGTAACTGCCCCTTTTCAGCATCCATTCCTCCATCTGAAGAGAAACTGAGGAATATTTATGCTTTGTACTGTGCCTCTAACTTGTCGACCGCTTGGTAGAAAACATATTTACTCCTTATATCTTATTGAAGCATAAACTGAACTTCACTGAAAAGACCTAATAAAATAAAATAATTTTTACAAAACATAGAGATGAAAAGTATTATCTTACATCAGTATTACCCCAAACTATTACCTTAAAGCTATCATTTAGTCAAAATACCAATGCATTTGCTGTGGTCTAGTATAACTGAACGCCGTGTGAGCCATTTAATGTGAAAAAGATGCTCTGGCGCTTCTGTTTCAGGAAGTAGAAATTAGCCAAAATAGTGGGGAGCAGGAAACAGCATTTGAAGTCATTCTTGTTTAAATCTCTCGCCTCTGATTGGCCAACAAGAATGCAATTCTCCCACTTCCTCAGTTCGTTTTGTAACATTGACTTTTATCTTTGCAAATAATACAAGCCTGAACAAGTTCAATGTTGTAGAGTTGATAATGCTAACGGTTAGCTTCTACTATCTGACATGTGCTTGCTCTACTCTCTCCTGGAGAGTTCAATAAAGAACAGACTAAAAATGTGTATGGAAAAAAACAAAAAGGCCCTGGCCCATGTGCCTGGACCTAGTGTAACAGAATGAAATGACTGTTTTCCACCAAAAGTAATCCCCCCCCCCCCCCCCCCCCCCAACACAGAACTAGTCTGCATGACATATGGCCTCAAGGTCTCATGCATTTGCTCTAAACTGCTTTCTTTCCAGCTCAAGAGAAGAATGAAGAAAGGACTCTCCTTTTAATAAATCAAAGAACTTTACTTTTAATAAAGCTAATCAAACAAAGTGTTAGTCAATAATAAGATGTGACCAATCTGTGAAATCAAAATATTAATTACTTTATTATAATCCTATAGAATATGATAAGTAATATGACTTTAAATGTTTCCACTAGGACTGATCCTGATCTCACGTAGCATTAAGAGACGACACATTGCTTTTACTGATCCAATCAGAATCTGCCAGATCTGATGGAGGAGTGGTTTTGGTGGTGCTTGGAAAATCTGTCATCTTTTCATTCGACCATAAACCAAAACATCCGAAGTATAAAACTATGCCCACGTCATCTTTAACGCAGTTCAAAGCGTTCAAGGGAAGTTGACGGAGTGGCCAATCCGTAACTTTCATCTTCAGCCAAAAGAACCAATGGCAAGCTGGATAAACCTGTTGCCGTTCCAACTGCTGCAACGGTTCCTTTCGGAATAAAAGCTGAACCATCACGACCCCATTTTGGGTCTTGTTAGATGCCGATAAACTGTCATGACCCGGAAGTATCTCAAGACTGCCGTGGCTGTTTCTACAGGCTATGGCTCCACAAAGGTCAAGCTGGACCTGTACACCTCCTGATCTAGACGGGGACTTCCGCTAAGGGTACGTAGGCCGACAGAATGGCGTCGAATGTGTTTATGAATCTCCTAACCAAAGCTTAGCGCGAAGACATCACCTTGACTCCCACCAGAACTAATCGTTTCTCGGATTTGTTGGTTCTGAGCAACATTCCACACTACACCATTCTCCGTCTATTTCACCTTAGTTAAACCATACATTTAGTGTTAAAGTTAGTCTAGTTTTAATTTGTTTAGTAATAAAAATTTAAACTTTTAAAACTTGACTCTCTTTTGTCTCTGAATTAATATTAAGTGGTTACATAATCCCTGCAATAAAAAGTTCCAATCTTCTGGTTAAACAGTACCCACAGATCCATAAGGTGATTTCATATTTACTATGGAATCTTATGTCTTATGGCTCATTAAATAACATGTAAATTAAACCATTACACTAGTGAAACTCCAATGTGAGAATCACAGCCACAGACAAAGGGTTAACGAATCTAACCTACAGGGCCTCTGAGTGTAACAACCCCACATATGACTTCCCGATTGCAGGGATTATTGCCCCCAATGAATAAATAAAAATTTGCATTTGTAATTGTTTATTTCTTTACGTGGATGTTAAAAGGTTTTGTTTGTGAAACACCATCAAACATTCACAATCCTGCACACAACATGACGGATATTCTGTGCAGAAATCAGAATAATGCAGAATGTAATGCCAAGAAGTATCTTTTCCCACACAATCTCTACCATAACTCCTCTGATTATAAAAGCAGCTATGTGTTGATTTTGGTGTTAAATCATTATTTTGACAGGTGCCAATCACAGGCAGAGCTTCACGCTCACGGCCTGAGCCGTAAAGTCTGTTTGACTTGATGGCGGAATATTGACACTGCTTCGCTGCCCTCAGCCTAACAGCTGTTACTGTCAACGTCCTCTGCTTTTTATTGGCATCACTCGTGTCGATGTATCAGAGTCAAAAAGTGGAAAACTACAAAAGGAGCTTGGCTTGAACTCTTAGTGAAAGTCACACGGGGGATTATACTGTAAGATCATGCTTTTTGTCTACTATTTTCTCTTTGCACAGAACAAAAGCTCTATTTGTTCAGCTTTTTGCCTGTCGAATATCAACCTCACATTACATGTTCCCAAAGTGTACTGTGGCTTTGTAATGTCCAGCTGACAATGGTTTATCCTGGCTGTTTACTAGATGAGTGCACGAAAGCAGATTCCTTTCTGCAGAAGCAGCAACACACCTGCATCTTAAAACGTAAACCACTTCATGTTAAGGTTCCTGCATACAATTAGAACCTCAGTGTTGCTGTTTCCCTCTAATATATACACCAGTGGCAAAAAAGGCAGTTAGCTATGAAAGCCAGCTGTGACAACGTTCATATTGGTTCTCCAAATAACCTACTCACGTAGTCCTGGCTGCCGCTCAGACGAATCATTACTGATTAAATCAGTCACATCCGAGGCATCTGCTTTGATGGGACTAAAAATACATCTCATGGGAAAATGTTGGGGGAAGTAGAATCAAAGTTGTTACCTCATAGGTTTACTTTCTTCCACAGATACGCATGAGAAGACAGATGGGATTCATGTCAGTGCAAATGTTGAAGAAAATATCTGACGCCAATCGGTTTGAGTAAAAATGATTGCTTTGATGTTTTTTGAGTGACGGAACTACATTTTTTATACAAAACATGAGCAAATACAGTTGATTCAAAATAAAAAGCCGTGGTCAGGATGTCAGCCATAACAGGACATTAGAAATACAGTGGGATACGAAAGTTTGGGGAGTTTGTTCATCTTCATGATTTTCCTGTACCTACTTGAGGTATACGAAAGCACATTTGGATAAGTCAGCATCATTTTGGAATAAGCTGCTGTGGACTGATGAAACTAAAATCAGCACTAGTTCAGGAGGCAGAGCGGGTAATTGGTCTCCAACCAGAGAATGCTGCTCTTGCGTCCTTGGGCAGGACACATAACCCACCCTTCCTGCTGGTGGTTGTCAGAGGGACGGGTGACGCCAGTGTTCGGCAAAGCCTCACCTCTGTCAGTGCGCCCCAGAGCAGCTGTGACTACACTGTAGCTCATCCCCACCAGTGTGTGAATGGGTGAATGACTGATTGTGTTGTGAAGCACCTTGGATGGTTGTAGAACCCTAAGAAGGTGCTATACAAATACAGGCCATTTGAATTATTTGGGCATAACAAGGGACATTATGCATGAAGGAAGGGGACCACACCATTCCAAGAAAAACACCTGCTACCTACAGTAAAACATGGTGGTGGTTACATCATGATGTGGGCTGTGTGGCCAGTGCAGGGACTGGGAATCTTGTTAAAGTTGAGGGACACATGGATTCCTCTCAATATCAACAGATTCTGGAGACCAATGTCCAGGAATCAGTGACAAAGCTGAATCTGCACTGGGGCTGGATTTGTCAACAAAACAATGACCCAAGACTCTGGTCAACATCTACTAAGGCATTCATGCAGAGGAACAAGTAGAACGTTCTGGAATGACCATCTTAGTCCCCAGACCTGAATATTATCGAAAATCTGTGGTGAGTTAGAGAGAGCTGTCCATGCTCAGAAGCCATCAGACATGAATGAACTAGAGATGTTTTGTAAAGAAAAATGGTCCACAATACCTTCACCCAAAATCCAGATTATCATTGGCTGTTATTTCTGCAAAATATGTCTTCTTTTTGGTGCCCAAATGTATGCACCGGCCCAATGTTGTTTAAACAGTTATTGCACACTTTCTCTAAATCCTGTGAACTTTGTTTCACTTCTCAAATATCACTGTGTGTGTCTTCTATAAGATATATTTACCTGAAGGTTTTATCATAACAACCAACAATTTATAAAGGAAAATCATGAAGATTAACAAGGCTGCCCAAACTTTTGCATCCCACTTTATGAAAAAAATGTTTTTGTTTTTAACGAACCTTTTCAGTTAGATTTTTAGAAAGAAAACAACATGCAGTGACAAAACAACCGACAGACCTTCACAGGTTTTGCCGTCTTCATTCAGTTTCTGGCCAGCTGGACACCTGCAGTAAAAGCTTCCAATGATGTTACAGCAGAGAGCCTCACAGCCTCCGTTGGTTTCCTCACATTCATTCACATCTGTTGGGGAAAAACACAAAGGTTATCTGGAACCACATGAAGACTTGCTTGATTAAAGGGGGCATATTTTGACTCATTCAGTTATAAATGTTCGTTGCTAAACACGTTTATAAAATTATTTTCACAAAATCCCACTCACGTGAAGCGATATCAGCAGTTTTATTCGACATTGTCAGAACCTTCCAGAATGAGCCATTTCAGGGCTCTACCACCTTAAGAAAACAAGGCTCCAGCTCCCAAACTGCACATGACAACTAGATTTGTCTGCCGACAGTCTAGCCTGCAGCTGCTAGAGCTGCAGAAAGTCTGCACAGCTGGAGATACTCAGACTAAGCATGAAAGGTGCAATATGTGTTGGATTTTTTTTTTTTTTTCAGTTTTCTGATGCACCATGAGAACAGACACACTTTACCTGCACTGGTGTTTTATATTTATATGATCTTTAAATGAAAAGCTGATAGCGATGAACTTGTAAACTCCAGGAGAAAAGTAAAAATACAAACAAAGTCCATTGTCCTGCTTCAAGTCAATGTTAGTGAGGTGTAAAGTTTTACTAGCTGATTAAGTGGCTTCCGTTTTCAGGTTACATCTGGTAATGTTCACACTAACTGCATTCTTTCCATTTACACATCCTAAACAACTAAGTTTAAAGAGGTGCCATTCTGGCAACAATGACTTTTACTCGGTAATAAACCAAGCAGTCTGCGCTCTCTGGTGGTCTGTGGGACAAGAGATTTCATTTGAAAGCTTGTTACATTTAAGATTTGGACAAAATCATCAGAACTTCATTTAATGAATCTGGATCCAAGAGTGAGAGGAAGCTTCAGACTGTGCTAAACTTGTAAAATAAAGACTGCTGTAATGGTAGACCTGAGCGGGTATTGTGTGAGGACATCTATTCTTTCCAGACACCTTCCTTAGGACACACACGTGTGTCTGGAGCAAAGGTCAGTTTAGGGTCAGTGTCACACTCATTCCCAGCATCTTTCTGCTCGATAAGCGAGCAGGAATGGTGAACTGCTGCGGGTCAGGTGGAGAGGACACAGAACTCCACAAAATACTATTCATATGTTTTTTTAAGCATTGTTAAAGACTTATTTAGTTAC